TGAACAGACAGATAAATGTTTTTAGAAGTCTTGTAATTTGCTGCCTTAGGTTTTAGAAATTGCAAGTTTGAAATATTTTGAAGTATTTCAGAATATCAAGTATCAAAGCTGAAAGTAGGAAAATACTTTAAAAGACATTGATGCTTTCTGGAATATTGCCCAAACTGGTGCAACTATTTCATTTGAGTGCTGCACTATATTCAGATGGATTCTCTTTAGCTGGATCTGTGTTACAGAGATGGTACTGTATAAGTGTCAGTACTTTATTTTTAATTATTTTTGGTTATGTACAATGTAATACCTGCTCTAATGTGCAGGTAACAGAAAACATTTCCAATATTGCAAATTTGGCCATTCTTCATGCAAAATTGTACTCCCTTCGAACACCAGGAATACTAAGAAATTCTCATAATCCGGTGAGGACCGGAGTTAACAAATAAAGCTCAGCTACTGAAACCAGTACTAAGCTGCTTGTTAAAGAGAAAAGTAGGGAAATTATATCAGAATGGCTTCACTTGAAAAAAACAATTGTTACTTGCTTCAAATCAGCTAATTAATAAGTGAGTTGCAGTCAATAATGAGTGAATATGTAAGGAACAAGATGCTGAGTTTCACATGAACTCTGAACACAAGATGCTCCCTTCAGCTCATGTAAGCTGCATTAGTGTCAGAGGCTCATAACTGCACAAATACAAATACCCTTTTGTAAAATAAAGCATCTGTACTGCCATTTAATTCCTTTTGCAGGAGATAAAGGACTTGCAGGAGGCAGAGGGCCACCAGGTTTTGAAGGAAAGACTGGAGATCCAGGCCGAGCAGGAAACCTAGGACAACCAGGACAAAAGGTTTGGTCAGAAATACAGCACAAAATTTTCCATGTTCCCATTCATTAAATTTGATACTGAGCAAATAAATTAAAAATTGTAAGGAATATAGGAATTCCTTTATTTCTTGACTAGTGATGCACGAACTATGAAATTAAATTCTTTCTAAAAAAAGGGGCTCAAGCCAAAATTTTAGATCCAAATACAARATTTCAGAACTTCAATGTTTGGGATGTTTTCCTACTTCAGCTTTCAGACCACAAGGAGGTTATTACATTGCTTACAGCAAAAAAAATTCAGGCCACAGCTTCTGAAAAGATGCCTGTTCAGAAATCCAATTAAGCATATATTTGATGGAGATCATTGACAAGTAAGTATGTATTTCATTTAAGCAAGTGCTCTGTTGAGCTCAAGCATGAAGAAAGTAGGTTAGAGGTTATACTGCAGCCACTCTTGCTGATTAACAGAAGCTAATCTACTGATTGTTGACTACTCAGTAATTAGGATTCAATTTTGAACAAAATATTAGTATCTAAATTATTTGAAAACATGGCATTCCATTTTCTATGTGTGCGCTTATGTCATTCTTTTGTGTGCTTTTTGACATGACAAAGGAAGGGGGTTGAGGTTTTGAATTTTTTTTTTTATTATTATTTAATCTGTATGTGATGCCACAGAACAACTGGATCTGAAGTGGCCTCTGAGGTCCAAGTRTATAATTAGTGGCTGGTATAAGCTCAGGTCTACTAACCTGCTTTATGAACATACTGATTTGCTGGTATTCACAGCCAGAACTCGAAACAACCAGCAGTTCATTCAGTGAACAAAACCTACCAATACAAACTTTCCAGTCAGGGCTTGGGATATTTGATAAAACCAGTCTTCATCGAAAACTGGTTCAGAAGAATTATTCAAAAAAATCCAACAACTGACTGGGTATTGAGACATACCTGGGTGCTTACATTGATCATTTAAATAAATATTTTGATAAAAAGTCATGAAAGTAAAGGAATAAGTTACATTTGCAAAACTTCACTCCTGCTTTCAGATAGAGGTCCAAAGCTTTTCAYAGCTACCAAAAGCAGCCCTATCAAAGCAGTAAAGACCAGATTAGGGRAAGTGTCTTGCATTGCTCAGTAGCAAGTTCTTAGGGTTAGGAGACAAAGTTTAGAAGCTGTCTAGATGAACTCCTCAGCTGGTCAATAAGGACCATCCAGTGGTCTGCTGAATTGAAGCCAYTGGAAATTCTAGTGTGAAAGATCAAAGGGAATAAAGAGAATTACCCTAATAAAATAAGATAATTATTCCCACAGAGGAGAAAATATTTGGCAGATTTGCAAAGTGTAGAGGATTGTTTACATTTCTCTCTGTGTTGCAGGGTGACCCAGGCATGGTTATTCCTGGAGAGCCAGGAAGAATGGGTTCACCAGGAGGTCATGGCAGTCCAGGCTCAAAAGGTGAAGGTGGCCTTCCAGGACTACCAGGCCTACCAGGACATCCTGGACATGATGGTGATGATGGCCTAAGAGGTAATGTTGTCAGAGAAGCTCAGAAAGTAGAGCAAGGAAAGCCAAGTCAAACAGTATTCACTCTGCCTGGAACTTAAATTGGTTGTGAATCCAGTCTCATTTCTTTTAGGAGATCGTGGCTCACCKGGAGTTCCTGGAGACCCAGGTTTTCCAGGGAAACCTGCTGAGTGTCTTATTGGCCTGCCAGGTTTGCCAGGTGGCCAGGGAGCTACAGGCCCACCAGGTAGGACKTTGTGACTCAAAAGTGCCATTTGGCTGGATTAGTCTGGGTGTTGTTTCTGCTTTCCAATGGCCAGAGGGAGCTGAAATTGTTACTGGGTATTGATTGTAGGATAATATGCAAGAAAAATAGGAGTCCATTTAAAAGATACTCTTTCTGTAGAAGGCAGGGAAGCACATACTCTGATGAAAATGGATTAAGATTCAGATTCCATTGGACACWATAAAAAGTAATCCAAACTGACCCAAATTCCATGGGAAATTGTACTTATGATGTAAAGATAGAAATGAAGGWTTGTTTTTCAGACAGATGTACCGTACTCTACTGTCCTGTACTTTTCTTAGGAGGAAGAGGTTTACAAGGTTCAAAAGGAAACCCAGGTCCTCCTGGTTTGAGTGTCCCAGGAATCTATGGAAGGCCTGGGGAACCTGGATTGATAGGTCTTCAGGGAAATATGGGATTACCTGGTCCCAAGGGACAGTCTGGAAGGCCAGGAATCTCTGGTTTGCCAGGTAAGAATTCCCTGCGTATTTGTTTTGATGTAACAATTAAGTGAGTCTTTGCAGAAAGATGTTTTGCAAAAAGGTGCACAAAAAGGTCATACTTTTCCAGATTAAAGGTGATGAAATGTTTTTTTCTGTCAACAGCTTTCATTTATCTTTGAGGTCTATATGGAAAACTAATAAACYATTCTTCCCTAAAGCATGAGCATATCTTGAAGCTCTCTTGACATAGTGTGGAATTTTCTGTAACAGTCTTCTGAGAACAGCCTTTTACCTTGTTTTTTCTACAGTAGGACATGAAATAGTTACTACTTAAAGGAACTCCCCCAGCACAATGGAAATGCAAGGTGTTTAGTTCTTATTCATCATGCCTTTTCAAACAGGTAGTTTGTAATGCCATCTTCTTAAAAAGTGAGTTCAGATCTAGAGCCTGACAGAGTTGAGTTAGATCAAGCTCTGTCGCTAATCAGAGATAGCTTTAAGTAGGCGAAGTAGTCCCTGTAGGGTTGATTTGTTTGTTTTTTTCTTTCAGAAATATGTTCATATTTGTTTTGAAGAGTAAAATAAATCAGTCATGCAATGCTTGTTATTTCAAACACAGATTTTTCCCTAGTATCAAATAATTCGTCTGTGGGAAAGAGATGGTACATGCCTTTTTATACTGAAAATCTATAAAGCTTTTGGTAAACATGTAGCCCTTAACTCAGTTATGCAAACATAAACTTCTGATGTCATTTGAGGGAGTTGTTATTTCTCAGCTGGTCTTTGACTCCTGAGGCAGAAAGGAATGTCATTYCTGTACATCTCGTGACAGATGTCTCATCCCTCTGTGGATATCTCAGATACATTATCCTTACTCKTAATTATTTCATTCATTGATAGGACCTGTTGCAGCTGCTAATTTAGGTATTTTGGGGGTTATAAATCATGATTCTGTGGTTAAAGATGGGAAAACTGGCTTGGATAGTTACAGAAATGGAGAAAAAAAAATAAAATAAACAATTAAACACTGAAATAACAGGCATATGTGTAGTTTTCTGAAGTAATGTTCTGTTTAATTGATCCAGTACTAACAAATACATTCCTATTGCTTCAATTACACAGGCTCAAGAGGAGACCCAGGTATAACGGGACTGTTAGGAATTCCTGGACCCCCTGGCATGGCTGGAAGACCGGGCAACCCGGGTATCAGAGGCAAGTGACCACTGCATCTGCCTTCATTCAGTATACAGGAACTTCAGTGCCCAAGTTAGTTTTGTGATCCATTTTTGTGTGTGTTATCACTCCTGAGTACAGATGTTGTATTGCAATTTCTTTGAGTCTTGGTAAATCTGTCTTCTATATTTGTGCAGTCTGCAGACTGAATGACATCCTCATATTTTTTAACAGTTTTGACTTGCCACCTTTTCTTTTTCATTGCTCTTTTCAAAAGTGGCTGGTGATTTGCTAAATAAAGAGCAGAGAGCCTTTTTGCTGGTTATTTTTTTCCATCCTGTGTGGATACCATTATTATATTTATTCAGCAGACACAAGATTATATGTTTATTCACTATAAGAMATCATTACCATCTCTTGCCATAATCTGTACTCACAGGTGTTTTATTGATGATTRGAGCAGCTAGTTTAGATTGTTGGTTTGGAGTGTATATTTACATATATAACTTAAAAGTGCTCTTGAAGACTGGCACTGTCTGGTTTCCTTTATCATATTGTCTAGTCAGGTTTATTCAGAAAATTTCCCTCTATTTTCTTGCAGGTTCTCCTGGATTCCCAGGAATAAAGGGAAGAAAAGGGTTTCTAGGAGAAAAAGGCGACCCGGGTGATAAAGGATTTCCTGGACCATCTGAAACCTTGGTTGCTATTGGGGACAAAGGAGAACGAGGTTTGAAAGGTACGGATTAATTGTTCCGTTATTTAAAAGCTAATCAGGGYTGTAATCTATTTTGCAGTTCCATTGGACTCTGAAATATGGAATAAACTGACTACTGAGAGTACTCACATGGCTTTGAAATAATTATTGCTTAAACACTGTAACTGCCTTCTTATTTATGGGATAGTTGGATATTACATTTAATATTCAGTTCAATTTTAACATGTCCTTATTCATTTCAAAAGCTTTTATTTTAATGCTAAACCAGTAATAATATGTCAGTAGTACCAGGAGGCTTATATACATATGTGCTATGCAATTTATGATTTTACACATTTAGTATCCTTTTACACAAATGGCTGCACTTACCAACCACATGCTGGATTGCAAAGACATTAAATCATCTCAGAAAAACTTGACTGTCCGAAGAACTCCTTTGTTTGCAGTAATAATATGGGCTCTCTGTATATGAGCTGTACATGCTTAACTAATGCTGTCTGGCTTTTTGTATTGATATTTTTCTGTGGAAGCTTTCAGGAGCCTTCCTATTGTCTCCACATGTAAAAGACAGAAGGCATTAAATATGAGTTTGTGTTYTGCTTGTGTGTTCACAGAGTGAAAATCATATGCTCTACTTCTCTTTCATTAGCTTAAAGAATTATAAAATTTTAAACTTTGCACAGAACTTATATTCTAAGATTTTCTTTTGTAATGTTTTTTAAATACAACTTTGTTGCAGGAGTTCAAGGCCAAATGGGTCTGAGGGGAGAAAAAGGAGATGTYGGTGTGCAAGGTCCCCCAGGTGCTGATGGGTCTGAAGGAATGCCTGGTGTACCAGGTATGGAATATGTGTTTGATAATTACTGTACCATGTGGACAGGGAGATTCTACAGCTCCAATGCACACCAACTTGGCTCCAGAAGTAGCACCACATTCTCTCTATWAACTCTCAAGCTTTCCTGAGAATTCTGAAACTGAGCTATTTCAAAAGCTGCTATTGAAAGTTATAGCAGCTATCACTAAATGAATCGTTGTTTTCTTTCAAATATAGATCATTCTTTGGGATGACAAATGGAAAATAATATTAAATCCTGAGTAATAATAAAGTCTAAAAGCTGCTTAAGCCAATCAATAAAAATTAATATTTATTAAAAGTAAAGAGAAGTTTGAATTCTCGATATTATTTTAAAATTAGTTCTAAAATATTAATATTAAAATTGTGCACAAAAATACCTTAAGGTTTGTTTGGTTTTTTTTTTCAGATGAATTGTATTTCCCTTTCCAAAGCCTACATGTTTGACTTGTATTTCAAAAGTTAACAGATTTTCAGTGAAAAGCAGATTCAAAAATGTCAGGCATTGCTGGTACCCTGGAATTTAGAAAGAATGTTCTGAGAACATTCTAGATGCATCTAGATCTTTTAGTCATTAAACTGAGTGCTAATTTAGCTAAATTAATCTAAAGATAAGTGAGTGGGAGAAGTGCCTAGGTCACACTCAGGAGCTTTTTATTATATACTAGTCATGAGAAGTCCATAGTGAGTAAGTAATAATGTGGTTRTTCCATGCACAAAATCAGATTGAACTGGCGTTCAGGCAATTAAAGGAGAGCCATTTCAGTGTGTAAATACAAATTCATGATCTTGATCAAATGYTGCAAAAATATATTTCGGTGGCTGCTTCTAAGTTCTGTGGTCACAAACCTTAATTTTAATGTTGATACATCAGGTGTTTGTTATTTCCTTGACTTTTTGAATACAACAATGATAATTTTATCTKTGTTATGGGGCAAAAGGTTCAGTATTGATTATCTATAAAATAGTAATATAGCAAAAGAATGGGTGTGATAGAGGATTTTGTATTCATGAGAGCTCTAACATCCAATCAGTGTCTAAAACAAATACATGAAGATGACATTTATTTCTTTGTCTTGCAGGGGTCAAAGGATTTATGGGTCTTCCAGGGATTCCTGGCAGACAAGGATTCCCAGGAGCACATGGAGACAAAGGGAACATGGGAATGCCAGGTCATTTTCTTTCAATCAATATAGCAAATTCATAGCTCTATAGAGCTCTATAGAAGCATTGGCACAGGTCTGAGCTGTCCTGTATGTCCACTACACCACACTTAGACTGGGATTTATTCTTTTGTATCTGTAGAAGTACCATCACCCCAGCATTTGCTTGACCTGCAGAATGCAATTCTTCCTATCTAAATTTTTTTAATTTATATATTGTTACATGTWAGAACCACGTTTTAGAAATAAAATCAGTGTTTACATTACTTTAATGAAGAATTAATACCTGTATATATAAGCACTAGCTCACAAAACATGAGGTGTGATATGCAGTTATGAATCTCATAAGAACAGTATCAGTATCGGTATTTTTCCAGGTCCAAAAGGCCAGAAAGGAGCTCCAGGCTTTCCAGGACCAGCAGGTGACCCTGGTCCTCCAGGCTATGCTGGCTTTCCGGGTGACAAAGGAGATCCTGGGTACCCATCTGCTGGGCCTCCAGGAGAACCCGGTCCAAAGGTATGAAGGCAGTGGAAAAATGTTCCTGTTAGGCAGGGCCTTTGACTACAGAAACAGAACAATGCCATGCAAGAACTGCAGAGTTTGACGAARTAGATGGTTTATTAGTGATAAGACATGAAAATTCTGTTGTGTCATTAGGAGAAATTTTTTAGTTTATTGTATTTCACTTAYTTTGTGCAAGAATTTATCTGTAAAGATAGAACATCTTTGAAGTAACTTGCTCACTGTAAAAGTTCCTAATTCAAGAAGAATTAAGAACAAGGACATTAAAAAGCTAAACATCATCTTAGCAAATGCAATAGTTTTCTAATCTAAACTTGTACTGTTTGGCTTTGATAGTCTGGTAATACCCTTGCATAAGATGATTTTTTTTTCTTAGCAATATATATTACATTCAGTATACCTTATGTTTGGTCATATGTATTGCTAAGAAAGAAATAGTATTTTTATGTTGGATCAGTTGGCTAGTTTTACTCCACATGTGCTGGTTGTTGAATAGCTCAAGTCTTTTTACCTGTGAGATGATGTGAAATAGGTGGCTGATGCTGTAAATTCCTCTATAATTCTTGTAAACRGTCTAAATAATTTCTTTATTTTGTGTGTTATCTGAGTAGCCCCAATGAGATGACTGTCAAAAAAAGTCAGTAGGAATTCAAGGAAAAAAATAGGCATTTCAGTATTTTGTATAACTGCATATAAYCTAAAGAATGGGTGTTTGGATCAAAAGAGGAGCTGATAGAATAAAGTTGAARAGGAATCTGTGCCAGGGAAAATATCTAAAGGCAAATTGTTTTGTAAAGGTTAAAAATAGATTTTAGCTATGTCTAAAGGATCAGTGATGAGAACTTCTTATAAGAAGACCTTGTATTAGTCTGCTTTGGATTTTTGTCTGAAAATCATAATAAATCATGATTATGTGTACTTAACCTTTAAAATTGCATGTGATTTTTCTGTGCTTCAAATATGGCCTGTAATGTCATTCTTCACCTGTTTGTGTGCAACTGCTGTTTCTCAGGGAGATCCAGGCCCCCCAGGAGGTTTTGGCAGCAAAGGGGAAAGAGGATCACAGGGTCATCCAGGACTTACAGGAGTGCCAGGACCACATGGGATCAGAGGGGAAACTGGAGGTGCAGGAATTCCAGGTATGGGGTACTTTTGGAGGGATGGTGAGCTGATGACATGCTCCTAGAAGAAGATAATATCTCAAACTGGGTGCCTGTGGGGTGGCAAATTCATGTATGTTGACAGTGTAAACCTCAACTGCTCCTTTGTGGTCAGTGCAGCCAGGCCAGCTTGCATCACCTGGAGAACTWGCCACAGCAGAAATGATAGCAAAGCTCTTAAACTGAATCTTGATTAAGGGATGATGCCTTTTTCCCTCTGCCACCTTTCTTCTTCTTACAGGAAAGTGTGGACCCCCTGGAGCTATTGGTGTTAAAGGATGYCAGGGTCGCCCAGGACAGCAGGGAGTCCCAGGCCCTCCTGGTAAGGTGTTTATATCCTCTCTCCTCAGTCACTGCCCTGGGTCTGGGATTTCATTTCAGTTTGAGGCTTTGTTTGTCTCCTTTGAACAGCCACTTTTCAATGTTACCAGTTCAGCTGAGGCAAAAAGTTTTTGTTTTAYTTCCCTAGTGGAAAGATTTTTGTCATTTTTATTTAAAAGTACATATCCAAAAGTCTCAAGGTGTGACAAGCACACAAAAAAGGCTTGTTCTACCTCCTAAAAGAAAATAACAAACTAAGATATAGGTAAATGAAGAGAAAAATATTAACTAGAGTAGAAAGAGGAGGCAGAGTTGTATCTGTCTGCTAAAGCCATAGAACTTAAGCAGAATTAAMATATACCTCAGGGGCAGTGTGTAAAAATATAACAGAAGGTGTCTATATATGCATGCAGTGAAAACAGTGAGGGTGTTAAATCCACTGGAGTCCTGTGAGCTCAATACAAGCTGTGTGCTGCTCTATACCAACACAGGTCTATCTTTGAAGTAACTCAGCTAATTAAATTTTAATAAAGGGGAGTCAAATCTTCTCACTGAAAAATTACAGAAGTAAAAATTATATTGTGGTCCATTATAATTCACAGGTGCTGTTGGAGTCCCTGGAAAACATGGACTTACTGGTGAAAGAGGTACTCAAGGTCAAGATGGTATGCCTGGTCCCCCAGGAGTAAAGGGAGAACCAGGTAACACCAGTGAAATATTTTTATTCTACTTTACAATTGTTTTTTGTCTGTAATTATACTGACAAGGATTATTTGGGAAGGCTTACTAAGGAACCTCTGTGGACCCCAAGCTAAATTTATAAGTAGAACGTTATACATGTTTTTCTACATAATTTTTGTACATGCTGYCAACTACCCAAGTGCATTATAAATGCTCTGTTCTACATGTGATTTGTCATAACGTTCCCTAAAAATGTTCATGTCTGCAAGAGTCAAAGTACTGCCGTTAACAGTTCTTAAGGGTTTCATCTCAAAGAGATTGAAAGAACCAAAATCCTTTCAAAAGAGTCTTCTTTGTTACATTGATATAAAATAAAAGGAATCAGTGTCTCCCTCCATGAGTGATGAAAGTTTCCATGATCTAAACCTTGGGTTGTGAAACCTTTCCTCTATACATYGCTCCTGATGTTATCAATGTTCAGCTAGATTTATTCCTTGACTGAATTCTGACAGAATTTTACAGTGAAAATATTTCTTTGCATATTAGTATCAAGAAGATACTGAGAAGGCATCCACAGTATTTAGAAAGTTTATTAATGTTAACTTCAAAGTAATCACARTTGTTGTATTTTCTTTTTTAGGTATTTACACTTACTTTTCTATTTTTCTTAATAACTAAATTAAATGCAGGGTTTTTTTGGTTTTTTTTTTTTTCTGAAAAAAAAGGAAGAGCTTATTTTTGTAGAATATACCTTAAATGTGATTGACCAATTAGAGTTCCTCCTATAAATAAAAACTTTAAATTGAATTTGTGTTTTTTGCATAGAAGAAATGGAAATGATAACATTTATTTTACATGTAACTAAACTCTGCCTTTTGATTCAGTGAATACTGATAAAATGTATGCAATGTTAGAAAACTGTGATGTTTTCTGAAAATTACTTTGGAATTTGAGTATACTGTGGCCTAATATTTTATAGGACCACCAGGGAGGGGGATCCCTGGCCTTCGAGGTGTTCCTGGCCGTAGAGGTGAGTTGTCTTTTCAAAAAGCAACATCTTAATTTTTAAATCTCAGAATCATCATCAAGTGCGCTCCTGCTTTCGGATGTTTGGAGTGGCACTAAGTGTCAGAGGAAATCAAGAGTGATTATGTGCTTTTGATCAATGATTCAGTTCTTCATATTAAATGTCAAGATTTGCTGCTTTTAAAGTTTAGACTATTGTAAAAGGGAAATAAAGAAGCTGACTTCTGTGGTCTTGTGAAGGTGACATATTGCAGCATCTTGCTTTGTTGCATTCATATTGATGCTTCCAGATGGAATTCAGTTTAAAAGGATTTGTTAGTTCTCACATGCAAAGAAGCATCAATAAATATTCCCTTCTCTGGTCTGTCTATCCTCCTCTCAAGTTTATACCTTTGTATGTGCAGTCTTTGAAACGGAATGGGATTTTTTGTTTGTTTGTTTGTTTGTTTTTTAATTTAAAAAAGGGGTGTGTACTTTGCAGTGAGTCCTGTCTTCTCACAATTACTTTGCTTCAGAGTACCAAGGTGGCTTTGGGGGGCTTCTCTGTACTGAAAAAAAGGGCTGAATTCCACCTGTGTGGTATAGGRAACTCCTATTCTGAGGTCTCACATCCTCTTACTGTCTTGACAGCCTTCCCGAAATGTAATATTTACACTTTGCAGGAATCAAAGGGGACATGGGACTGCCTGGTTTTCCTGGGCCTCCAGGTGTGAAAGGTCAACAAGGTGATCGAGGACCCATTGGACCTCCTGGCTTAATGGGGTTACCTGGATTTCAAGGCACCACAGGCATGGCAGTCACTGGCCAGAAAGGAAGCAGAGGTAGTCCAGGTGCACATGGAAGACCAGGTGTGCTTTTATAATTTCTTGTTTATCTGAAATTATATACTGATAATTGAAAGTAGAAGTCAGCCTGTCCAGAATTCAAGTTTAAAAGGAGTATTCCCCCAAAAGAATTTCATAATTGAAAAGGTCCCTTTAGTAGCTAATGCAATATTATCATTGCAAACAACATGGTCTATGCTGTGGCATATAAATTAAAATAACTCTAAGAKGTCCAGTCCACTYRATTGCATTATYTTGCTTCCTTCCCATGTGGKCTGYAGGGCAGCTGAGATCCAAWTTTAAAGATGTRAGGTAGCATGAGTGGCACTTMRGGACATGGTTTAGTGGAGGATGTGGCAGTGTTAAGTTTACARTTGGACTTGATGCTCTTAAAGGTCTTTTCCAACCTAAATGATTCTGTGATTCCAGGCTTAAAAAGGAGGATATTCAAAAAACTGTAATGTTATTGAGTACTGTAAATTCTGATCTCAGATTAAATTAGCAGGCTAGGAGAAATTTGTTGAATTTTTTTTAAGTGTGTATATTTCCTTGGAAATCACTGAACTGGTAAACATGACTATCATTATGGAGCCACTGAACGTTGCACTGAGTTGTATGTAATCTATGTGAAAAGCTGTTGGCAGTAGTCTTTATTTACCCTGATGTTTCTGTGCAGGTGCTCCGGGTTTTCCAGGACTTCCTGGTCTTTCCACTCCCAGCGTGAAAGGAAGCAAAGGTGTCAGAGGGGCAGATGGCATTCCAGGGCCAAGGGGCCCAGCTGGTGACATTGGTCCTCCTGGTCCCAAAGTCAGTGACAGCAGTATTGGTTGTTTCTTACTGCACTGATAATTTGCTCTTTCCATGAAAATAATACGCATTAAAAAACCCTCAAAAATCCCAAAAACAACCAACAAAACCAAATGAGCATCCCCTCCTTGCCATTTCCACAAAACCACCTTATATCAGAGGAAATACTAAAATGCATATGAGAAGTAGGTTTTATGGACTTAAGCAGATCAACTGTTTTTTTTTTAAATTCCTGGTATGTAATTTCCTTGGCTGTTCTGTATTACAGAATAATATGAACAATGATGAGATTATTTCTAACATGCTTAAAAGCAGAGCAGATAATTGTAGTTGCAGCATATTCTGTGAACATAATGTTTTGAATATTCTGAACAAAAACAAAATGTWCTTCATAGTGTGGAGATGCTGCTCCTGTTCATTACTGATGTTCTCCGATTTGCAGGGAATAGAAGGTCGATCAGGCTATCCTGGTGCTAGAGGGGAACCTGGATTTCTTGGATTCCCAGGTGTAAAAGGTATTTGTATATTTTTTGTGTACTCCTGTGTGTCAATCATTCACATGTTGAGTTATAATAGTATCTCTGAGTGAGGGGTTCTAGAGACACGAGGTTTTGCCATGAAGATGTGGGTATAGGTCAGGTCAGAAAGAAAGTTTTTGCTAAGAGTGTTTTCATTGAGGTGCATGCTCTGGGTGTGTCAAACTGATATTCAGGTGAGGAGGGGCTGGAACATCAACAGTCTCCATTTCAGGCAAATTCAAAACAAGTTTGTTCTTAATGAGTGATGAGTGTAAGGACTTTGTCACTGAGCCTGCTGATTGGAAAATATCCCACMACTGCTGGAAAATGTGACTTTTCAAAAACTTCTTAGCTACAGTACTCAAGAGCATTTTATGGCACTGGGTCCTCTGTTAGCTGTAAGAATGATCCCAGTTATAATCTAATTTACAGTTTATCAGTAGATAAACTGTTAAATGTTTTGGCTTCTTTCATTTCATATTCCTGAGGGTTAGTTGAATCAGTAGCTGACAGAAAATCCTTTKAATTTAGAAAACTTTCTAGTGATTTAAATATGATATAGGTCTGCATTATTCCAGTATTCTCATTTATCAGTTGCTCAATTTACAGTGACACAGGGTTGCCATTACCTGTTAACCTGCTCCATGTTAACTATTGTGCRTTTTAAATTTCTTCTAGTCAGAAAAGTTACCACACAGACAGTAATCTTACTTTCTCAAGCAAAAATCTTTCATTTCATGTATGTCAAAACCCCCAACATGCTATTAGAAATACTTTTGAATTAATTTTTTTGTTTGAAGTAGAACTGTGGAGCATAGTCTGAATATAACCTCATATTTTGCACATTGAACAGAAATGCTTATTAAATTTCAAACACTTGAAAAACTCTACAGCACTCATAAAGCCTTCAGCATAACTGACAGTAAGGTTAAAGGAARCTGAGCTCTGCCTGAAGGCAGCACTTGAAGGCTGCAAATTCAGGGATGAAAGCATGTAACATAGAAAGAACATAGTTTAAAGTTGAGAATTTAAACTAGGTTTATGGACCAACCTTTATATAGTTAGGCAGGACAATATCAGCTTATAAATTGAGTGCACTTGACCTATAAATTGTACAGTAGCAGCACAGGTGAAGAAACCCACTTTCACATATCAAATGAGTCTATAGGCTGTGTTACCCTTTGGGAACTTTGCATGGATTGTGCAGTACTCTTCAATAAGCCTCTGAAACTTTGAYAGTTGTTTTGACATTTTAAACCAGACACGTATCTTCAATCTTTTTTAGGAGAAAAGGGTAATCAAGGACCCCCTGGACCACAAGGTGCAGAAGGGCCACGGGGACCAAAGGGCCAGCATGGTAACCAACCCTTCTCCTTCCAATACCAACTCACTTAGGTTGATTGGTTTGGTTTGTTTTGTAGTTTGTTTGCTTTCTTTTAATGTGAAGCAATAGGTCTTCATTATAATTTTGCTGCTAGGTTYACCTGGAGTCTCTGGGAAAATATTCTCCATCCCAGGAAGCAAGGGTCCTCCAGGACTGCCTGGAATCSCTGGAACACCAGGTGATCAAGGAATTCAAGGGATTCCTGGACCACAAGGTGATTTRTATTTTTATCTCTATGCATGTCTCTGTGTGCTGCTTGGAACGCTTCGGTTTGGTGGGAAAACTTCTGCATAGACCATTGACATCCCTTTAAAAAAACCTCACCATATTTAAAAGTATCTCATTGTACCTTGTTAACACCCTAAAATTATAACCTGTCCCATTCCATCTGCCCTTCACCYGGTCAGTGAAGTAGGTCCCTCAACATAAGCCTAAGCAACAGAGTGGATGAAAACATTTCTCCATTTTCATACAACCAGAACCATGCTCAGGATGTTTGTCATTTTTAGGAGGCAGGGAAATACTACCTGTAATAGAAGCACTTTAGATGTGGTCCCATGTGATTGTGTCTTGGGGTTGGGAAGGGAAGGAGAGGCTGGCTCCACATTGGCACTAGAAGCAAAGGCTGGCACAGCTGTGGGGAWTGGGAAAGCAAGGAGCAGGCAGGATGAGRTGGATATGCARTGGGTGTCTGACCACTCTTCCCAGTTCCACAGCTCTGCACCCCAGGAAGGGAGGTCTTCAGGGGGGCAGGCTTGCTAGAAAGCATTTTTCTGGAGAACATTCAATACTTCCTTGTAATCTTCCTGATAGGAAAGATGACAGTGGCACTRTGGATAGTCTGAAATCTTAGTAGGGTTATGCTTTTATTCTGATATGGCAGCATTTATATGGGGCTTTGAACTTTATTCTTAACAGTTATTAAAATCTAGAATAACTACTGCTACATGCCTCTGATTTTTTTTTTTTGTTGATTGTAATTTAGGACCCAAAGGAGTAAAAGGTCTACCAGGAAGTTTTGGTCATCCAGGTCATCCAGGACTGCCTGGACCAAAAGGAGACAGGGGATTTCCAGGACYAAGAGGTACAGGAAAGCAGACATCTGTTTGACTGGTACTACTGCATTTACAGATAAACTGCACTGCTGATTACTGTAAATCCTTCCTCTTACACATTCTGAGAGTCTGTAATTTACAGAACATTTACAGTACCTTTCGGGAAACATGTAAGCACATTCTTAGCTTTAAACAGGTGCATGTTCACAACTGAAATAGTAATTTACATGCCTTGACTGTTCTTGTCTGTTATTAATAATTTCTATCTACTTACTTGAAATCCCAAAGTATCAGAGTGCCTTTTTATCACATCAAAATAAAATGAAATATTTTTATTCAAGCATGACAAAATGTTTTTACTTAAAGCTTTTTCTGAAAAAATGGCCATGATTCTTTAAAATACTCACTATTCCATGAAGCTATGTAGTGCAAAAGCTACCTGAGCTCGGTCTGAAGGAGTTCCTATATCTGCAACAAATACTACCGATTTTTAAGTTGTATCTTATTATTGGTAATTTTTTTGTTAGTTTTTAAGCAGTTTCACTAATTTCAAAGGTATGAAAATTCAAACAAAATGTAATACTTGCAGTTATATTTATTTCTCCTCCACAGGACAACCTGGACTGATTGGCTTTCCAGGTCTGCAGGGGTTACCTGGATCACCAGGTACTATCATTGCTGGTCCCACAAGAAGAGGATTTATCTTTACCCGGCATAGTCARACAACAAGGATTCCTTCATGCCCACACGGGACATCCCAGATCTATATTGGCTATTCACTGCTTTTTGTACAAGGAAATGAACGAGCACATGGACAAGATCTTGGTACTGTATTGSTAAAAAATTTCAGATTGTCAGATTCTTAGGAGTCCAGTAATGCTAAGTTGTCATGAAACCAAATTTACAGTAAGTGTCTGAGATAAACATTGATTTCAATCATCCATCTCCAGAGTTGTCTGGAGTCAATTCAGGACACCTTTCTTTCCTGAACTCCTTATTGATATCCTTTGAGTCTTTTGAGGAGGAATTCTGTTACTTATGGATAGCTCCTTAGCATAAACATTCGCAACATTTGTACAGGGCTGAAAGTAACACCACAGAATCTGAGGGAGAATCTTGTGGGTTTTGGAGCCTAAATGGGATGCTTGAAAGTGTGAACAATATTATCAGAAACTGTTGTTTAAGCAGCTGAATCCCTGCCATTGCGTCAAGGACTGATACCATTCAAGAAGATTATAGTATTTTAACAGATTTTGTTCTTAGCCCTTGTTTTTTATCTAGATATTTTTGTATAAATCAGAAATGTTTTGCTTTCAGATAATTTTACTATATAGACACTTCTTATAGTTACCAACTGTTTAAATTTTTACTACAATGGATTGGGTGCCATCGTGTGTCTCTTCTGGTGACTGCACTAAATAGAATCTCCTATCTGTCACAAACCTCTSCTCTTCTGTCTCCTAGGAACAGCTGGTAGCTGCTTGCAGAGATTCACCACCATGCCATTCTTGTTCTGTAGCACCAACGATGTTTGTAGCTTTGCTTCTCGCAATGACTACTCATACTGGCTGTCCACTGCAGTGGTGATGCCACCAGACATGGCACCCATTTCTGGCAGGGCACTRGAGCCCCATATAAGCAGGTAAGAGGATAAGAATTTTAGCTTTTCTGCTCTGGAACCACAAAGGCATCGTAAATTGTTTTGAGTGGCAAATCTTAGGCAAAGACCTGAACATCTCAGCCAGTACAAGCACTGACTTCAACAGCCTGATTTTTGATTACTTACCTAAGTATGTCAAATATTCAGTAACACTTACAAAAAGTTAAATAACGCTAGGGCCACACCACAGGGCCTATTGCTGCAGAGTTGACATAAGAAAATCACACACAGTCCTACTGATTGCAGTGATTTTTTTTTTTTTAAGACCCTATCATTGTGTATATCAGAGATAGACTAAAATTAAGACAGCTTCTTTATTTAGAATACAGCACAAATCAAGTTATGGGTGATATATTTACTGTAGTTGGTGAAGAACACTGTAAGCTGGGTGAAGGTTCTCAGCTATGAAACACCCTTGTGCAAATGTGGCCCTTTCTAGCTGCTTAGAACAGCTGAAAAGGATAAAGAGCAACTTCAGAGRAAAGCTTTAAAAGCATGAAGGACCCAGAGAAGCAAAATCTAATATGGGAAGGCAGGCTTTTCACTCTTCTGTCCTGCCCTACCCAGTTGTTGCAAWCTAGTAGCTGAGCTTCAGTTTCTTCATTTAGGAAATAAGGATTACTTTTTCTAATCTTAGCAAATTAAGGCACAAAACTTTGATCTAAGCCAGAAYAACATAAAGTAGTGAGCATGTGGAAAAGGTAACATTTTGCTTGTTACTTCATTAAAGGCAAAATGAAGAAGCTCCAATGTTCTGGAATTATTTCCCATCTTAAAACTGTTTTGTCTGGTGTCACCAGTAGAGATTGCAAAACCATTGCAAAGTAAGATGTATGGGTTACCTTCAATTTACTTATCTCCTCRTGAAACACAGAAACCTGTGTGAATAGTGGCATTTATAGCAAGCCCTGCCATGAGGTAGCTACCATCCTAGAAGAYAGAAGTTTGCTCTGCTTCATGTTTTCCCTCATGCCTGCACTGAATGTATGTGCTTTCMTTCACAGGTGTGTTGTCTGTGAAGGAGCTGCAATGGTAATAGCAGTTCACAGCCAAACAACTGTAGTTCCTGCRTGTCCAGATGGCTGGATGTCTCTCTGGAAGGGTTTTTCTTTTGTTATGGTAAGGACATAGCAACTTGGATTATTAATTTTATGTCCTCTTGTTTTCATTTATGTTTTCAGCTGTCGATAGCTCATTCATGGTTTTTAATAACTATTTTTTTGCCTCTGCCAAGAAGTAGAAAATAATTCTATTAATTCTTATTCAGTTCCAAAAGCATAGAAACAACKATTCTAATCTGTTCACAAAAATAGGTGGCAGGAGGAAAAGCAGAACAGATGAGAGAAGTACTAAAGGATTTTAGTCTGACAAAAATAACTGCATGCATTTGCTTTCACATGTTATACTAAGATGTAGGAAATAGGTTTAGGGAGTGGAGCTGTTAAAATTGGGGCTGGGCTGCACAGAGAGCTAAAATCAAAATAAATGCAGAACACTGTCTACATAAGACTGTCTCAGCAATTTTGATGCCATAATTAGATATGAGTGAAGAAGGTTCATAATGTAACTGCAAATAGAGAACTGCTTATAGGAATAACAGTGCATTTATACTGGGGGATGTAGCATTTTGTATTTGTTACCCATGTTTGTGGGATGTCATAGGGATGCCAGCAAATGAAGGTAAAAGAATTTTAAAACCCTCTTGTTTACATAAGATAAAGTTCTTTTAGCTCTAGTACAAAATTTTTGTTCCTCCTGCAATTTGGCCCCAAGTAGTAATAATAATAAATGTGGACAACAATGAGAGTATCTGTTAGCATCTGATTGAAACAATTTGCCTGTTTCTGACATCAGCAAAGTTAGATATTTTCTAGCCAACTTTATACTGCTGTAAATTATCTAAAGGCTACTTCTACAAGCATTTACCCAGATGAAGGGGAAAAGTCTTTTCTGCTTTTTGTGTTTGGAGAAGCAATTGAAGCAACAAAAAAAATATGAAAACACACACCCACCAGTTTGGTTTATTTGTAATGTAGTTACTGTTGTCCTCAACTGGACAGAAGCCAGCTTTCTAGCCTTTGTACTGGTTAGTTTCATGYTTTTCATCGACCTGAAAAAGGCCTTTGCAGGACTTAGGAAATTCCATAACTGCTTGAATTTTCAGAAGGCTTCTGTGCTTCATTGTAACCTTTATCAAATAAATGCATTTACTTGGTGTTGTCCAAGATACACCACAGAAGATATGGTATGTTTTAGAAAGAGTGTTGTTTCTTTTTTTTTGCCTCTGGTTTACTAAAAGCTGACAGCCAAGTTCTCATAAAAACCTTTTGGTGGTTTCAGTACACAAGTGCGGGCTCAGAAGCTTCTGGCCAAGCATTGGCATCTCCTGGATCTTGCCTGGAAGAATTTCGGGCCGTCCCATTCATAGAGTGCCATGGCAGGGGGACGTGCAACTACTACACAAATTCCTACAGCTTCTGGTTGGCATCATTAAATCCAAGAAGAATGTTCAGGTAAACTGTACTTCGTGCATCCCTGCACATCACACCTGTGCTGAAAATACCTGAGGAGACAATAAATGTCTGYAAAACCTGTAGGGGCTTCCTTTGTAATTCTCCTCAGGGTAAAGACCCCTCTTTGTTGGGTTCAGCATCATTATGTAGCTCACAGATAATTTCAGTGAGCCAAGGATTGTTGTCAATAATTCCATTTCCAAAGTTTCATTGGCTCTCTCTCCCTGTTTTTTAAAGAAAAAAAATTGAATGTTTGTTTTTTTTTCTTTTAGGAGACCTGTGCCACAGACTTTAAAAGCAGGAGAACTAGAAAATATCATCAGTCGTTGTCAGGTCTGCATGAAGAGACCAGTATAAACTCTTCACAGAATATGAAACTCTGCTTTWATTACAAAGAATTGCCTAACTCTGAAGAGCTATAATTTATTAAAGTCCAGCTGCATCTGGAAAGAAAATTGTAAATTGCCAGTGCAGCRCTGTGGTGAGGTAGGGCAACAGTTTGACTTTTGTCTTTGGCAAATGACAAAGCACTTTGTAGGAGGAAGCTTATAATGGCATCTGCAGGGGCTTCTGCCGAATATTGTCATTTCTGAGCTGCACCTTCACCATAAAACTAYAGCATCACCAGATCTTTAATGAAAGATGTTAATGCTGCCTTGTGTCATGTGCTTTTCAAACGGCAAAACAAACTAAATGCTCCTGTATCAGCTTACATATGTTCAGTGTTCCAAGTGGATATCATTTAAGATGACTATCTGGCACTTAGGAGAGATAGGGTTCAATAGGAAATCTTTTCAGTGCACTTTTAACTATWTAATGATTCATTGAGAGTTGTTTTGGTTTGGTTTTCTTGTCTAATAAACAAGTATCTCCCCACTTACCTCACCCTTCCTCTGGCTGGCAAACAGGAGTACACTGGTTTTTTTATCACTGTGATGATAATGGTGCTTGACTAGCCAGAAAGGGAGCCACAGCAGATACAGGACAGTGGTGACATGCACTAGCTGTGTTCTTCAGAGTGACTGTGGTAAGGGCTGACTAATTGCAAGTGTTGGAAAGTTTTCATTAGATTCCATGGCTTTTGACACAGATCATGCGATCTTTGAATTTCTTCAAAGTTGTCAGTATTGGGCCTTTATTATGATCACATGCTTTTATGTCTCCTGAAGAAAAACTATTTACCATATCATAATTTAGGATTTTGTTAGAATTAACAATTACGCTCAAGGGCTCCCATGGCATTATCAGGTTATCATTCATCAGGATGATGAATGCCATCATCAGGATGGCATTCATCAGGATGTGATTCCTAACAAAATCTAGCATATTTCCATTTTACAGTATTTCATATTTAAATATTTATCACAAACTGTATTCTGTATTTAAATATTTAGCACACATATCTGCAAATGAAACCATTTATTCCATCCAGTTAAATGTATACATCCAGAATTTTTAARAAGACCAATATTTAAATTGTACCATCTAAGCACTGACTTATACAAGAGAATCCRACTGTAAATGAACATACTTGAAAAGCACTTTCATTTGCTCATATAAATTATATGAAATTGTAGCTCTGAGGTTTTTGTTTTTAATATTTATAACRTTGCACTTGCAAGGCTATTTAAAATTGTAATGTTGACATTTAAAATGTTAATATTTTTTAATACTTGCACAATCTATCAGAATTCCAGTATTTAGTGTTACAGAAGAAGCCTAATTCATCTAAATAGTTCTGTAAATGCACCATTTTAAATGTAGGTTCTAGCAATTAAGTGAAATAACCAGGATTTCTATTTAGATGTTTTTTTAAGCCAGTRAAATTTTATATTGTTTCCGTTTAAATACTTGCATTGTGTTTGTTTGACTGTTTGAATTTTCAGTGTTAACCTAACTAAGAAAAGGTTTTGTCTSTGTTCCATGCCAGTATCTTATGATGGAGCTAACGTGAAGATATTATTTACATGAACTGAATGGATATTTTAAAATTGTTTCCTTGAACAGTCATAGTACTTCTGTTTGCAAGGTATAATTGTGAACATACAGGGTTTTATGAAGAATTTATTTGCAGATGCACTACTGATAAGAAGGTATTRATGTCAAGTTAATATTTAGTCTTTAATTTGAATCAAACCTGGGGTTGAGGTTGTTTTCCTTAAAACAATCATGTACTAGACTTCTCCATAAACTCTGAAGTTTGCTTTAAATACTCAAAGATCACACATGYTGCCTGGTAGGTTGTTGGGGAGTTAGTGATTTCTTTTTTTTCATTAAGGCTCATTGAAGTCATCCAAAGGCATTATATACAATATAGAATCCATGACTGTGGAGACTCTCACATAAAACTTGCTAATAAAATGCAAATGTGAATACCTGAACTTGGAGTCTGCCTGAAACATCCAATAGAGGATAATGTGTAAGGAGAAGGGAATGGATTGTGGCTTTAGAGTCCAAAGGTAAGTTACAGAGAGTTATGTCTCATAGTATAGCATATAACTGGAAGTTGTGCCTTTGTTCCCAGTTTTGGATTCCACTGCTCAYTTTTTGTGTGGCCTTCAACAAGTTACTAAAGAAAGATGTTGATAAGTAGCTTTAGATTTTGAGTGCTCAAACTCAGTCTTTCTTTCAAAAGTATGCAATACAACTGCAGGGACACATGTTTGTCAAGCCTGGCATAATACAAGCTAGACACTGGAAATCAAAGAAGTACTTGCAAGAAGTTGATGTTAATGTCTCACTGCAGCTGCAGATCACTTTRCTTCCCTACTGCTAAGGATTGTTGTGAGGATTAGTTAACTGATGTCTGTAAATGCTTTGGGAKCCTTAACTGGAAAGTGCTGATGAGGTGCAAGGTGTTAATATATTGTACTGAAAGAATGGATGAATGAGAAATCGGGAATACTGRGCAAACACTGGGGGCTGTATTCTGCTAATACAGCTAAATAAAAATATTTTGACTAAAGAAAAGACCCATTTCCATGTTGGCTTTTTTTTTTTTTTGCTTCCAGTGCTAATGATCTTGTCTGCTACCTCTGTATACAAAAAAAAAAGTGTTATCTGTTTATAACACATTTGGTAGAGTTTGTCCTCAAAAAGACACTGTCTCTCTCTGATCTTGCCTACACTGCAAGTTTAGCATTTGAGAGTAAATCCCCAACCTGGGTGTCTGTATGCMAGCTTTTCCTCAATATATTCCTGCATAGAATGCTGTCCTGAGCTGGGTTTTTTCTTCTTATCAGCTGTTTCAGGGCTGTTCTGGATTCAGTCTGAGAATTTATATTGCTAACAGGTGGATATTTAGGTTGTTGCTCAGTAGTGTTGTATGCAATATTCTTAAGGATGGCCTTTTAAATAACTGATCATCAAGAAAATCACTGCTGTCTGCAGCAAATCTGCAAAATATCAAAGGAAGTTACTTGTGAAAGGACCTGTACACAACGAAGAAAAGGGAAAAARCATGCTAAGAAGGGAAGGGATACAGCCTGATGCAATTCTTTTTGAGATGGGACAGAATCCAGGGAGCAGGGACAGTCATGACCCACTGAAGGTAATTCATAATGTGATACTACACTAGAAATCCCCACCAGGGGTTTTCTGGATGATTTTCTGTGACTCRGAACTCAAGTGACTTGCCTCTGACCCCTGAATTTATTAACAACAGTCACATAACTGATCTCAACATAAAATTATACATGGGGAATCACAGGCGATAGACTGTATTTCTAGTGTGCTTGAAGAACCAGTTTTTATACTATAATTGCATTGAGGTTTTCTTTCTTGTTTGTTTTTATTTTAAAGACAAAATCCTCTTGATAGTTTATAAAATGGTAAAGAGGTAAAACTGAGGACTCCACATACAGAAKTGTGAGGATTGCTTGGTAAGATGTGCTCAAGGCACAACTTGTGCTTCCAGGAGGCCAGATGTAAGATCATGTATTGTAAGGGAACTATTGTATCATTCTCAATGTTAGACAACTTTTATTTAGTAGGAGATCATATTTCTGACCACTTGCCTCTGTAAAACAGTGCTGTTGATATTTGTGAAGAGCTGAATTAGCAAGTTGCAAGCCTTGGATCAATATATGCTTTAGTGCTTCTGGAACTGCTACCCCTTTTGACCTCCAAAACATCGTGACCATAAATCCAAAGACAGAGAAAGCTCTGAGGTTACTTTCTTCTCTTTCAAAAAATACCTGCCATATATAATAGYATCTTTCATTTTATTTTCCTGTATGGAATTGGAAAACTAGGTTATACCATGCATGAAGCTTATGTTATCAGTCATTCAGAGGAGGGGTCAGCTAACGGTGCCCTTGGCAGTGTTTTAGCGGCGCCGGGGGCCGGAGCTCCGCTGGTCAGAGCCGGTGTGCGCTGGGTGTCAGCGGGACAGGAAAGGGATGGCTGTGTGTGCCACTTGTGGTGACAGATGTTCTGTCATGGTCACGGGGCGGCGATTGCCGGGGGCCGGCAAGACGCGAGGCTGAGGGAGCAGCGCGGTTGTTCGGAGTGCGGCTGCCATGAGCTCAGGCAACAACGGGCTGTGCCTCGGCAGCCGTGCCCGGCAGCGCCTGGGCTCCTGCCCGTGCCGATTGCTCAGCACACACACAGACACTCTCCACACACAGAGCACACGCTCGCCCCCAGCACAACCCCGGGACAGCAGAACCCCAAATTCCCCTCAGCCCTGCCCGATGACCGCCGCGGGTCACCTTGCCGGGCACCCAGCGCGCCTGCGCGGCGCACGCCTGCCCGCACTAAACATGGCTGCCCCCGGCTCTCTCGCACCTGAGGCACCGCTGAGAGCCGCTTCCGCCCGCCTCCGGTCACGTGAACGCCGCCCTTACGGAAGCCCGATGGGGACGCGCAGGCCGCGTTTGGCGGCTGACCCGCGGAGCGCGGTGCGGGCGCGGTGCCGCGGTGTTTGACGTGCTCCCGGCGGGCCGGGCTGGCAGCGCTCCCCGGCCTCTTCCCGCCGCTCGGGGTGAGTACGGACCGCCGGGGCCCGGCAGCAGCGGCCCCAGTTCCGCCCGGGGGGCTCGGCCTGTCGGCGGGGCCGCAGCCGGCCCTTCCTGGMGCTCGCAGCCGGAGCCCCTTCAGCCCGTGTGTCCCCCGCTCCCCGCTCCTGCTCAGCCCCGGCCCCTCAGGGCCCGTCCCGCAGCCGGCTCCGGGTGCCAGCACCGCCCCCGCCCCGGCCGGAGCCCCTCGGGCGCTGCCCCTCGCCCCGGGGTCGCTGCCCGGTCGCGTTCCCGGCGGGTGGCGGCGGTTCGGCAGCGGGACAAGCGCCTGTGCTGGGGGCGAGGGGACACTCGGGGGCGGCGAAGCGCTGAGGCCGTTGGCTTCCCAGTTCCCTCGGCCGTTATCGGCTGACCCGCCGTGACGGCTCCCCGATAAGGGGAAGAAAGCACCCATACCCCTCTACTGCCGAATGCTCTTAATGCCACCGCAGCGCAGTGAATATCTATCTGGGTGTTTCGGAAAAATGGTTGTCAGAACGACGTTTTTCCTTTAACGTTTTCCAGTAATTTTTTTCTTACTTGAAACAAACCAACAGAAAAAAAAAAAAAAAAAAAAGGTATTTAGTGTTAAACCCTTCTGCTGGCGTAAAACAAACTTGAAAGAATGCCGCTTTTAGTGTTTTGTGATCATATAGCCTTGTTCTTGTGTATTAGGTACGTTTTGTTGATGTCATCCCAGCGCTGAGGAGAGGGACCAGTGTATTTTAAAAGTTCAGCACCTGTAACTGTACTTTGGAGAACAGCTTTCAACGTTTAGCTTGCACCTGGTGCTCCTTTCCCTCAGACTCTTCTGTTCTTGCTTTGTTAGTTCACAGCCTCTGTGATCTATCTTGTGACGGGTTTAGGGCCCCAGTATCCTTTGGGGCCTTAATTCATATCCTTAACTTTGCTCTAAGTCTTCCTCTTCCCCTTTTTACTTGTCTGAGGATATCTGGACGCTTGCAACAGAACACTTTGTAGCTGATGTGCACTTGAACAGAGGACCTGTGAAGTAGCTACATCAGGAACAGTAGTGGACCTAGAGAAGCTACAGTTTGGTGTGACTGTAAAACCTCCTCTGATCTCWGTGCTGGCAGAGCTATACTGTTACCAGAGCTCATCTGTTTGTATCTGGGGCTCCACGCTGTGCAGAACAATCCCGGTTGCAGTACAGACATGGCCAATGTCTGATCATGGGCAGAATGCTGCCAAACAGTCATCCCACACATTTGTATSCATTGCTTCATCCTCATCTCTTCTATTGATGTTCTTATTTAGGAGAGCGAGAAGGAAATACTACTGTGTCTTTCTGAACACATAACTCACCTTCTATAACATCTTTTCCYCTCTTGCTTTATCCTCCTCTGGATTTCCTCCTTCATTCCTTTCTTTCATTAAATACAGCTGATGTTCATTTACACTTCATCTGTTCTCTATTTATCCTGTATTTGTGACTGGATTTTTATTGTCTTAGCATTTTTAGACATCTTTTCTATTATGCCTCTTTAAGAGCTACTTAGTTCTGTAAATATCTGTTTTAAAATCCTCAGTCTCCCTGATTTATTATTAATGCTTTCTGTAAAATGCTCTGTGTAACAAGGACATTGCAGAAAACATAACTTTGTTTTGTTGAGAAGCTTTGTTCAAATGTGTTATCTTTTGCTGAGATCTCACTGTTTCTTGTTTTGCTGTTCTCCTGTAAAAAGGAGTAAAAATTGAAATTGGTTTGACAGCAAATCCAGGTCTCAGGGATGTGAAGTAGACAAGAAGTAGACAAGAAGTAGACAAGAGTAGGAAGATAGTGAGGTATTGTATCTGTCAGTCCTTGGCAAGTACAGATAAACCCACACAGTGCTATTTAGTTTATAAATAATTTATAATAAAGTGACTTTTCTGCTGCTGGCTGGTTTTTGTGTAGGATTTACCTTGCAGCTGGAAAGCAGTTGTTTTGCAGACTTGTGTCCAAAAGCCATGCCATGGTGTAGGGAAGCTGTGGTGCAAACACTGCTGCAGGGCAGGGATACTTCATCACTAAAATGAGATCCATCCAGGTATTTCAAAATGAGAAAGGGAGCAAGCAGGGAAACGCCTTTTGYCAAGTCATGTGAGCAGTAAGTGTGCTTAAAGCTGTTGCCAGTCAATACTCTGGGTACTGTAAGTTCTTCAAATTTCGTCTCTCTATTGACATTATGATTTTCGTTAGATCTGGAAATGCTTTAGTGATCATAGACAATGTTTAAAATGAAAAGCACCTTTGCAATATGGAAATTTCAGAAGTTTGTATATTTTGTTCATGTCACTGGCTCATCTAGCCAATGTCTTGCAAGAGGGACAAATCTAGTGTGTAAAATCAAAAGGCAAGGATTAAAAAACTCCATGTGGAAAGGTTAGAAATTTTGAAGTGACAGATGCTTGAGCACCTCTTGAAGTGCTATAAAATGTTTATTTCTTATGAAATGTGTTGTTTTACTTTCTTTCACTTGAAACAGTGTGAATCAATACAGGTGGATTAAATCTGCAGCACTTTAAAAGAAAGTTTAAAGGAAATGCTTGAAGTTAACACAGACCTTTTTTGAAGGTTACACAGTGACCTTTTTGCCTGTTTCCTGATCACCCCTTCTCCTACTGTGCTACAGTGACACTTTGAGACTAATGAGATACTTTATTTGATCTGTGGTAATAGGAAGTCTCACAAATAACACTGAGGCTCCCAGGATGGATGCCAGGAGGATCACACCTTGGATATACTCAGTGTGTGTGCATTCATGTGTTACACAGCCCACATCCTTCTCCATTGTCTGAAGGTTACCAGTTCAAGGTTTTATTGAGAAATTGCAAGTGTTGCTTGTGTGGGATGGTGGGAGGGAGAGCCTGTGKGCTGTCTCACCTGCCCTGCCTCTCTCAGAGTTCTGCACGTTCAGCTCAGCAAAACGCGCACGCTGCAGCAGACGTGGCCTTGCTGCCAAAAATAGTAAAGGAATGTAGCTGCAATTTTAGTGGCAAACCCTGCCTTTTTGCCAGGATAGGTTACTTCACTTAGGGACATACTTAAGCAACACCGCTAATAGATCTCATGCTAGAGTAAGCCATGCTTTGCATAGGCACATTTGCCAGAAAAGCTATATTTACATTCTCTGTATGAATATACATATTCATGTATTCAATATGTCTAGAATCTTTGTTTTCCTATCCAAAATAGGATCCTAAAAAAGATCCTGAAAATAACCATCATCTCAATGTGAGCTGTTGACAAGCCCCCCAGCCACTGTCTGGATGAAAAGTTTGCCATAAGCAGTTCTTGAGGCTCAGTGTTTCCTCTGGGATCCCTTTCCATCYCCACTCCAAATGCAGCTTCAGGGAGTCTCTTAACCAGGCCCATAACCATTATTTGGGTCTGAGCCATCAGCAAGGTCCACTGGCCATTGCCCAGGTGATCAGCTTCTCCCAGCTATCTGTGGTCCCTTTCCAGCTCATTCCCAGATGCAGCTGTAGGATTTCTTTTTCTCTCGACCTTAAATCTAACTTGAAACCCTCAGTTACCTTGGYCTTTGACACAAGTCCCAGCAATTGCATTAGTAAGTGTCTCACAGMCCAGTTTCTGGGAAACTCCTCCACTGCTTCATTTGAAATCTTATTCCTTTTTCAGGAAAATGTATATATAAAATATTGGCAAACCTTTTACAGTTTAAATAAAGTCTTGTTCTCTGTCCTCCCAATCTTGCATAATTTCTGCAAAAGTAAGATTTTAGTTTACAGAAAAATTTAGAAGTGAGAAGTTTACAGAATTGCTGCATTTCAGTAGGGTTATGAATATTCTCAGTTTTCAAGCTGATTTGACAGGCTGTTGATAAGGAACTTTGTCCTTGTAAAGTGGGGTAAGATCTGGGTGACTGACAGTGAGCAGGAGGCTGCTGCCCAGTCTGAGTCTTTTCTGTCATTCAACACACAGTTTCTGCTTCAACACACAGTTCTGTGAGATTTCAGCTATTTTCTCAATTACCAGTATACTGGATTTGTGTAAATGCCAATCATTAATTTAGATTTCTCATCAATCCTGAATAGATTTCTTATCAAGCCTACCAAATTCTTTGATGTGTTTGTTTATGTTTCTATTTCTGCCAGCCAGTGCAGGAATAGTACCTTATCTGCAGAATTTCCAGTTTGTTTTGTTTTGTTTGTTTGTTTTTTTTATTTGTCGTGGCTCAATTTGAGAGCCCTTTATTTGAGCATTGTCTACAGCATCACTTTGTCCTTCTTTCATTGCCTGCACCTCTCAGCACTTTGTGACTACACTTCCTATTAATTCTATGTATAATTTGTCCCTTTAAATAAGGCTCTGCAGTTAGGATCTCCCACTTCTGATAATCAGAAGAAAGCATTTCCTTTCCCTAGTTTCTGCTRGTCTCCTGTACTGCTGTGAGAGTTTTGTTTTTCCTTTGGCAGGATGAGCGGGGCGGCGTTCCCGTCTCCGGCTGCCGAGATGGCAGAAATGAACCGGCTGCAGTACGAGATGGAATACACCGAGGGCATCAGCCAACGCATGAGGGTCCCAGAGAAACTCAAAGTGGCTCCTCCRAACGCTGACCTGGAGAAGGGCTGCCAGGAAGGATTCCCAAATGCCAGTGTGACTATGCAGGTTCCAGAGCGGATTGTAGTGGCAGGTATGTCTGCAGCTCAGGGCAGGTGAAAAYTTCAATTAGTTTCCCAGATCTCTAGATGGAAAAAATGGACAGCGATACATTATTTTTAAAAGAACWACCTGTAGAATGCTTTCTGGTGTTCAAACAGTTAAAGCTTTTTAATTTGGAAGTTTCTTAAGCTCTGAAAATGTTTCATGAGTAGTTTTGGTGTAGCTTGTAATRGAGACAGCTAATGAATTAATTATGAACAGAATGTTTAATTGCTGCTGTTTCATCTTACTATGCTATTTTTGGAGGAAAAAACGAATGTTTATTGATTTACACCTGATTTTTAGTAATTACCTGTAAGCTAAAGTAACTACAAGTTTTGGGGATGGACTCTATATTTGTCATGCAAAATGTGTTTAATTTTGATTAGGATGCTAATTTTGTTAACAATCTCTCTGTTATGAGTGGGCTCTATCAATATTACTTTAGTATTTGTGGTCATGGGCTTTACAGTGACAGATCCAGAAGTGCTGAAGGTCTTACAGTTTGCAAAATGTGTGACATCCATGTATTTTATGCTTTGATGTCCCCAGTCAAATACACCACTTACAGGACTGTGTCTTGAGTGCTCTCACTTGCAATAACAGTTGATGTGGTTCAGGGTTACTCAGGATCATTGTGCTCAGAGAAAATGCTCAAATAAATGTCAATTAATGTGTTTTTTATGAGTACTTCAATAATACTTTTTAACATTCAAGAACTGTTAAAGAAGGCTATGCCTCATTATTTGTTATAGGCAGGGGAAGTTACTGCTTTGATGTGCTTTTGAACTTTAACACTGCCCTCAGGCCTCAGAACAGTTTGCTTTCTATTGACAMCTGATGTTCTTGCAGGTAATAGTGAAGACATTCCATTTTCCAGACCAGCAGACCTTGACATTCTTCAGTCTACTCCATTCAAACCACTGGCATTGAAAACTCCTCCCCGTGTTATTTCTCTTAGTGAACGACCGCTAGATTTTTTGGACCTAGAAAAACCTGCACAGCAGACACCTCAAAGTGAAGAGGCCAGTACTTATTTTGCTTTTTCCTTAGATGAGAAGCATTCTACTAAAGAAAGTGAAATGACCACTGATGTCTCTACTGTGGTGCAGATCAATTTGGTGCTGACATATGTTGGGAAAATATAAAAATATTTTTATTAGCACTATAGTAGTTCTGATTAGACTTTGAAGTGACAGATGGCCTGGGATTGCCATGCTCAGCAAGCTTACTCACTACTTGCAAAAATAAAGTCATAATTAGAATACTCAGAATACTTMTAACAAAAAAATCCTTCTGATGAAGAGAAAGCTGCAACATTTTTTTATTTACAACRTATCAGAAAAAAAATGATTTTTGTAATGTGTATAGTCATACATTCTAATGTATCTAATTAACCTCTGGATGTCATAGCCAAATGATATAACACCGGGCAGAATTAATGAGTTTTAACAAAACTCTGAAAACCAACTTAAGAGAATGGTATAACATTGGCATCCAGGTGAATGACGGCAGTTGACACCTTAAAAATGGAAAGTCATTTATGAACCTGCACATTCCATTGACTTATAAAATACAATAGAAATGTGTTTCTCTCTGRTGAWAGGAAGTAATCCCRGAATGGGTAAGGATGGAAGGGACCRCTGCAGGTCATCTAGTCCAGCCTCCCTCAGTCAGGGTCATCCTAGAGTATGTTACTCAGAATTGTGTCCAGAGGGCTTTGAGTATCTCCAGAGAACATTCAAAATTCTGTTGTTCATAATTTTGAAATCAGATCACACGGATAGATAACAGGATTGCAGTAAGTTTGGAGTTGGGTTTTACGTGTACCAGCATCAGATCCTGTCATTAGTTGTTTTCTTCCTAATCACTGTGAAACCCATGAAAATGTGCATTTGTATTTTCAGGCAGATCTGCCTGCCAAACCTCCAGTGCACAGYGCTGTGTCCTGGARCTCTCTGGCTTTTATGTCTGTTTTSCTGCCTTTGCTGCAGGTGCGCTCGGTGGGAAGGCTGAAGAGGGAGCGTTCCATGAGTGAAAACGCCACGCGGCAGAACGGGCAGCTGGCCCGCAATGATTCCATGTGAGTCCAGCCAGGGCTAAGGGACATTGCTACCACTTTGGGACGCACTTCTGTTGTTCCTTACCTCCTCCTTGTTTGCTTCTCCCAACTAATGTTTTCTGTATTGTGGCAAGTACATCATTTTAACTATTATAAGGCCAGCATTTTTCTTTATTAATGTTGTTTTTGTTTAGTGCGGTGACTAATTTGCAAAGTATCTTCTTGCAGTGGATGGGTGGAAGTGTTTGTGGGCTCACAGTTGGTTTCACCACTTACCATGAATCATTATTTCAGGAGATTTTTCAGTTTCTGAGTTGGTATAATATTTTTTTTCTCCAGAGTTTTCAGGGAATTGGGTTCTTTGAGYATCAAAATGTTCCAAATTCTCTCACTGTTGCTATTACAATGATTTTCATTCATAGAAGAGGGAATATTTTTATTTCCTCATAAATATTAGAATAAGTAATTTTTCTTTGATGTCACTATGCTTTGTATGTTGGAATCTGTGAGTATATATATCTTAATCTTTTCTGACCAAAATGGCAAGGASCATTTAGAATTGGAAACTTCATCCATTGTTACCATCCAAAGTAGCAATCCTTAGGGTGCATTCTGAAGACATACATGTCTGTAAATTTTTATGAGATATGATAGTCTTTGATTACTCATGGTTTATTCTGAGTGACAGCATATTTCCACCTGGAAATAATTTGTTTTATGATGTAATGCTTAGAAATCTTTTATATAYGAATTTTAATACAGCTGCCATAAGGAATACTTACTATAGAAAAGACTTTAGATTTAAAATTTAAAAGATAGGATTCATCTGTCCCAATACAGACTGTGTACACTATTTCTAAATCAATAAAACTTAATTTTCAGTAACCAGAGGGAAATAAGTGCATAACCTACTTAAGGTGTACCTATTTTTAGTCTGAAGTAGATCAAGTGAATTATGTCCCAGAAATGCCTGTTTTCTTCTATTTACAGCAAGGGCACTGAGAGTATGTGTACCACATATCTGTCCACCTGTTAGTTTGGCTAAATCTGGTGAAATGTAYTCTGATGCATGTTCCAGACATGTTCTCCTTCTCTTCTGGATATTTGTGGAAACACTGTTTAATACCTCCCTCTTCTTTTGAATCAGACTTTCAGTTCATACACGTTTATAGCTTGCACGTGTCTAGGTGCTCAAATCTGCAGAATCATACACATTCACTGAGCTGGCAACACACTTAGATTCCCATCATTCATCTCTGATCAGCTCAGCCTCCAAGTGTTGTATCAGCCTCATCAGTGTTTATATTCCCTCTGGTGTCACTTAACCAGTTAAGTCCCATTGGACTGGCCACAGTAGAATGTCACTTCAGAATGGCTTTCTCTTGCTCATCTGGTAGCTTGGACATGGTACATGCTGGAGTTGATGGTCCTCATGTGATGGGAGCTTCTTGTGTCCCTTTGGTGCTGCCAGTTCTGCTTTGCCACTCTGACATATTTCACTTGAAAGGAAAAACAGATGGTAAAGCAATTCATGCGATTCCTTGAAATTGATTTACATTTGCTCCCCATGTTTTGTCTTCCAAAAGTCATGGGCCACGCCAGCCATCTGAGAAAATTGTAAGGTCAGCTCTGACTGTAGTTGCTGTCAAATTTCTCACACACGTCTGGACTTCTTGAATCTGAAAATCATAAATCTTTGAAATTTACCCATGTGCTTTGCTGTCATTCAGTAGTTATATATAGAATTACTGTTTTTACATGGTCTGAATATTGTTTACTGTCTCAGTTTTTAATCTACTATCAATCCTTCAGAGGCTTAGCAATGCAATAAGCATCTAGTATCCTGYAGATTTTAAAAGGCTGTGATCAAGGAACATAAAACTGGCAGCTGGCATGACTCAGTTTATCATTTACAAAAGCCAGGAAATTATGACACAGCTGGAGATTAGTTTTTCTCTGTTGATGCCCACGCTARTACTTGATAAGGTCTGTCAAATARATCAAACTTCMARTGCCAAGGCACTTTCCATTGTATCTTTTAGATTGATCCAGGATCTCTTATCTTGAAGAATAACAGCTGGGTGTTATTGAGCCTTCTGTATCTGTATTCTCTACTGCCCATGTGCAAGATATCCTTCTTCACTATGGTGTTCTGTACTTGCTGACCTGCAGATCATGTGTTAGAGTAGAACTTCATTTTTCTCTTCCAAGTGCTTGTTCTCTTATGACGGAAGTTGTGCTGTGTCTAGTGTTAGGTCATCTGTTTTGAAATCAAGGAGGTTACTAGAAATGGCTTCTTCTTCTGAGTCAATATGATCCAAAAARAAATCCCTTTGAACATGCTATGGCACTCTGATGCTGAGTATGGCATTCCTCTCTCATTCGGGTTTTGTTTCTTCAAGTGGAGAATGTGATTATGTACCTGGCTAACTCTCAGGAGAATGTTCAGGGAATTCAGATTGTAAAAACATAATGTTCACAGTGGAATTTCTGTGKTTTCCACAAATGGAATGCCAGGCCTTCTGCACTTGGTGAAAAAATACCCTCTTGGCTCTTGTTTCCTCACAATTTAAGCCCACAGGACTTAGAGTGTAAACTGAAAAAAAAAAAAGGAAAGTTTCWTGTAAATCTATTCTTTGCRCTACAGAAAATGTAACTGTGCACCTGTTGCCTCATTTATATCACCTTGATATTCCTTTGCCACCTGGGAATACTAATTTTCCCAGTGATAGTAAAATACAAGAAACTAGCTGCTCCTGAAGTTCCTATGTCCAGTGTTGTTGAGTGCAAAAATAGTTTCTGCACTAACAAATACTGTGATTGTCTACCTTGAGAAAAATCAGCTCTTTATTTTTTTGCTTTGTGAGTCTCGTTCACATCTTCAAATAGAAAAAGAAGCCYACATGATAAGCTGCTCAGATCCTGTGATGAGGACTCCACTGAAGAGGCACTTGGAGCACTGCCTTTTAAAATCTTTRTTTTCAAAATACCACTACAGTTCTCAAGTTTTAATCTTGGACATTGTTGTCCTCTTTGTGCAAAATATTCAGACGTAGCATGTGAAATTCCAGTGCTTGACTTACAAAGGGACAAAATTAAACATTCTGGAATAGRTTGTCAGGTGCAAGTGAGAGTTGGCTGGGCTCCCTATCACAGTGTTCTCAGCATGCACAAGTAGTTCTTTCTCTCCCATTGTCTTTCTCATCATCYAGTTGCATACAGAGAGAGTTCTGAGGATTTTTTGGCAGCTGRGCTTCACTAAAAACAGTAATTCTCTAATGCTCTTAGAAATCCTGGGACTAACAAGTACCTGCTGGTACAATAACTGTGTAGCAAAGATAGCTCTCTAAATGAAAATCCCTCTATTTCTAAGGATGCCTACTTAAGAGATTACAATTATTATTCAAGGTGGCACAGATCAGATACTGTCCCAAGAAATAAAATGCCACGGTTCCAGTCACCTCTTTCGACTAAGGATTGCACGTAAGCCTGAATATTACCTGGTATATGAAAATCAAGAGTGTTTCTAATTCTGTAGCTCTCTGCAATACTAATATTCTGACTAAGTACCTGTAGTTTAGAATATAAAATTTGAAACAGTTACACTGAATGTGTGGTTTCTAATTTTGCTTCAGGGTTTCTCAAACTTGACCACATTGTTTCCCTCTGTAAGGAGCATAGGGAAAAACACCTTTCAGCCAATGAAAGGGACAATTAAATTCCAAAATAGCTAGTTTGTTTGGCTCTATGTTCTTTGGCTGGTTTGAGGTGGAGAAACAAAGCTTTTTGTTGGTCATTGCCAGCCAATGCTGAATGCAAGGATTCCACTTCTGTATTGGAAGTCACCAAACCACCAAGAATGCATGCAAAAGTGAGCAGCACTTAATTTTCTTTTTCTGCTCCAGCCTTTTCCTTAGAATTTCACATCTTTCTAGAGAGTTCCATTTCACAGTTTGAGAAATTCWGTTCTTCCTGCCAGTCATGGAGGAGAAGGTGATGGTGTGCACGTCTGTCTATGTGCTTGAATTTAAAGTAATCTTAATGAGTTAAATCTGTTTACCTCTCATTTGATACTGTCAGAACTGCAAGTCAGAGAAATACCTGAAATAAAGCCTTTGTATATCACAAATGCTTTGAGAAGGTTTAGGGGAGATTGCTGCTAAGCTAAAAACTCTGCATATAGCAAAATGCTGCTGTGCTCTTTAATAGTAATGTTTGTAATTTCATGTTGTTTGTTTTGGCTCCAGGCTCTGGAATTGACTACTGTCTGTAACCAGGGAGTAATAAAAGAAGTGGCTRGAGCTGTATATGAGAATTCTTTTCAAAAATGAAAAACAAAATTATACCTACAACTAAGACTATTTAGAGAAATGGAGGAGAGAAAGGGGATAGCCACCATGTCTAATGATAAGAGCTCATACTACATATTAGTGAATTTTCCTTATGGCAGAGAATATCTTTCCTTATGTTATCTGGGCTGATTTATGTATCAGGTAACTGCTTCATGATATTTCTGCTCCATGGTCTCTGACATAGTCTAAAGGACTACCAGATGRTGACAGAACAGTCATTTCAAATTTCCTGAAACAGGAAAACAGAAGAAAAGTTTGGCTTTTCTCCCTGTCCCCCAGTCATGGCCTTTGTGCCCTTCATAGCATTATTCTCATTTTTTAAATTTTTCCTTGTTATATAAACTTGAAATTTAATCAGCACATGTAACTTAATTCTAGGGAATTTTGTGCAGTTTAGTTAAACTGGGTTGTTTTGGTTTTGCTTTTTAATTTTTTAGATTTTCTTTTTAGTATATACAGAAATCTTTGTACGCAAATATCGTTACTATAGTATTTACAGTAAAACCATTCTGGACAACAGGAATTCCACAATGTCTTCTGTTTTACAATATGTCTAAATATTGTTTGCTATTTTTTTTGAGTTGTCTTTCACTGTATTCTGTTCATCTCTGAAGTCATTAACAGGAAAAATTACTTTTAATGCAGAATATACTGTGGGTTCAAGCCTTAACTGTTCACTCATTTGCCTCAATCCAGCAAATCCACAAGGTGTAAAAATTGTCATAAATTCACTTTAGTGGAAATATTTTGCACATGATATCCCTGGTGCTTGATATTTCTCTACTGAATATTGGCATTTCTAGTGCAATTCAAGAGTAAAAAGTATGGGTGGGACACTACAATTAAGTATGGAATAGAAGTCATCATAAATATAGAAGAAAGGTGGATTTTACAAGTGTGGGAGAAAAATGAAAGCTGTAAAGCAGTAGCCAGATATTTATTGAAATGTACTCCATGGCAGCATGAAAAGATATCTGCCCTTTAGGTAATAAACAGTGACCAGTATCAGCCAAGCACCAGTTGCTGCAGTCTTTGAATGTCCCTTGAAGCCCAGGATGGCTGAATTCTGCTGTGGATGAGGTGACATTCATGTAACATTCTTTGATTCAGTCTCTTCAATGGAATTTTCTTTCTTACTCAGTTTTGCTGCCAGCTCCATTCAGAGTATTTGTATTCACATAATTCTGACCCAGCCAGAGATTATCCAAATATCAAACCAACTTCTAATACTCAGCATTAATGTGTTATTAAAATGCCAAGGTCAACAAGATTGACGTTCTAAATCTAAAGCTGTTGTAGCAAAGCACAAAGGAAATRTGTTGAATTATGGGTGCTAATCTTGGAGTAAAAACTAACCCAAGATTGAAAGGGTACAGTGGCTTGCACTCGGTTTGCATGTGTGTTAATATTTACAATTAAGTTAATATTAATTAATTCCTATTAAAAAAAATCTCATCCTTAATTAAAGTTTCCAGATTAAAAGACAAGTCTTCATGTGTGCAAGAAATGTGAATTAAGTCACTTTGGATGTAAAGAAATATAGGCAAATTGAGTTTATYAAGACTAATTTTTCTCTGATAGACAAGTTTTGTATAATCCAAATGGCCATGTTTGAATTCCAGTCCTGCATGTTTTAAATAACACTTTTTGCATCATAGGCGATAACTTAGATCATGTAATTCGTTGTCACTGGGATGTGAATTTTGTACTATTTTTGAATTTGTTGCAGTTTGCCTTTAAACTKGTTCATGTGCAAATCAAAATACTGTCTTGATCACAGCTTCCAAAAAAATTTTGTTGAAGGGGTTCTGTGTGAGATTCTCCTTATTGCTTTTTAAWAAGAGATGATGTGTAGGATTTTCTTAAAATGCCAGTGCTTGTAAAAACACTTCTCTCACTGATGTGTGAGACTTGAATACTGTCTTCAACAGGTACAGATTTAGCTGTACGAGCACTTTCTAGAACTAACTTGTATAACAGATCAAAACGGTGTCCTTATTACTACTTGTGTTTGTTTCTGATGAACATAYGTAAATGTAGCTCATAATCCCTACACTGCTAGAATTTGAGAGTGTTATTTTACAGTGGTGGGAGAAGGGCAATCCAAAAGCAAGCAATGAGCATTTTTGAATGGGGTCTATCTGAAAAGCTTTTTTTTCATTTAAAATCTGACTCTAGTATTTCTCTCTTCATTTACTGTGCTTRTACAAACAGTGTGACCCCATCACTGCAACAGGCTCGTGTCTGTCCTCCCAATATGTTACCTGAAGATGGAATTAATCTTTACTCTGCTCGTGGCATTTTGTCGTTTATCCAGTCTTCCACTCGTAGGGCTTACCAGCAGGTCTTGGATGTGCTGGATGAAAACCGCAGGTGATTGGTTGTCACTGATTCTGCCAGCTTCTGCTGCTTTGTTTTTCTTTTCTCCTTTTTAGTGGAGTTTGGTTTCTGTTTCTCAAAACAATGAGATGAAATTATTTGCTTTTGCTTTCCTTTGCTTTCACGATTCATAAGCAATTTAAATGTCCAAAATTCACATTTCAAAATGCTTCTGTTTCAAATATAGAATTGTTTTGGTTTCCTTCCAAATAAGAGCCTAAATGGGAAGGGTTAGCCTGTGACTGCAAGTGATTTTGCTGTTCTAAGATTATCAGTGTTTTCTGCAATTAATACTTGACCCTGAGCCTGCAAATTTACAAGCCTTGTCTTCTGCTTTTCTGTTGGTGAGCAGTGGTGCAAATCAATAAGATTGGGTTGATGTTGTCATAAAGCATTAAAACAAATGTGCAGAAACAGGGTAGAATATTACCATGCATTGTAGACTACTCTGATAACGTGTCAAGAGTTGAAATGGTTACAGTTTRTATTGGGAATAGTTCTCTCTGGTGKACACATGACTAATGGATGCTGAGAGCAAGAAAGGCAGGGGACACTGAGGAACTGTTGCTCCTYTGATTATTGCTGTCTCTGATTTTGTGGATAACCTAACACTTGCAGAGTAATGAGGCAGAACAAGCCTCATGGCAATCCCTATATCATTATTTCCATTCTCTTCAGTGCAGTTTTGCCCACTTGGTGTATCCTGGGACTGTTCCGATTTGGGACTAGGAAAGAAAGGCACGTTTAACACCATAGAAACGTCCATAAAGACTAATAATGGCAATGTTCATTTGCCAAAAGCAATTTTCCTTTTAGCTGTATGCTAGCACAGAGGTTCAGGTAACAATTGCACACAGTCTCTGTGTAGGGCTAGCTCAKACCTCTGGGACTTGCCAGGAGGTGGAATTAGAGGAAATAATTGGTAAGAACATTGGGAGGAAGGTTCATTTCTCCTGCAGCCCTTTTGTGTTCCCTGTGCTAGCAAGTTCTTTGAAATGTGCCATCTGCCTCTCTAATATGCCAGCAGCACACTTCCTATTTGTAGTGTGAAGTTTAAATTATTTGCTTTCTAGTTGTTTAGGTAATGAAATGTGACTATCAAGCCAATCTTACTGTGAATGTCTGTGTTTGCAGTCACTTTCCAAACTGGCACCTCCTGTAGCTCACCATGTTTGCTGACCTGACAATATATGTAAATGTCCATATTAATATTCCTGAATTGTAAAGATCTCCAGTCTTGATGGCCTTTGTGTTCTTAAACTGGGACTSAGAAAAACAAACAAAATTAGCTGCATGGAGTCCCTTGGAATACTGCAAGTTGGGCGCTTAACTAATGAATTATTTAATCCTGTGAAATGCCTGGCTGTAGCTGTTAAAATTTTGATCAACAGTTGGGCATCAATACCTATTTTGCCTTATGCTTATTAATTTGTTTTGCCAAATTAAAGCTCCCAGATAAAGAGGAATTGTACTGTCTACAAACAGTAGCATTTATGGATCCTGTGCCAATAGTCCTTGTTAAAATAGAGATGGAAATGGTAGCCATTTTCCCTGTCTGCAGTGATACTGACAGGTTTTATTCCTGGTTTCTGTTACACACGTTCTGGCCCATGTTTCTGTGGATTCTGGAAAACAAATCCATATAGATACATACACTTTTAACTTCAATTGCTAGAGAATTTCTAGGATTCTGAATACTTCCAAAGCTGCATTACTCATCCTGGTCTGAGTTAATTTTTGAGGTGTTCTTACTAACCTTCCTAGAAGGAATGAGAAATCTGCTTCTAGTCACCTGTGGATAAATAGGTGCCAAAATAACAAGCCTTTCAATAAGGTGAAAGTGTATTCTTTGTGGCTGGGTGTTTAGACACCCACCATTACAGCTGGCGTGGGAATGTGAAATTTGGATGATCCACTTGCATGATTGCAAAATATTATTCATTTTAAATTGCTCCAAACCTGCACTCTGTTCTTTTGCTCTGTGTAATGTGCTTTCTATCTCAAAGCCTTACCTATTTTAACTTATTATGCTTAATACTTGAAGAGATCTTTTAAAATTAACAAGATCTGACTGTATGTTATTCACTGGAAATATTTTTAACTTGTTTTATAGCTTGTTTTGGTTTTTTTTGCAAATATTTTCCAATCTACTAAAACCGCTAACGGTAGGTGCTGATTGTACTGCTGCAAATAATGAGTTATGCCTAGCTCAGCCAGCACTGCTCACACAAAGGGTTATTTTAATAACCAAAATTTAATGATCACTGTTTACTCTTGCATTTCCTTCAGCTTGGACAAGGACAATAGGTCAGTTTTGTTTCTAGTTCTAATAATTTTTCTCTTTCAATTTCTGTGGAATGACTGTAAGGCCCACTACCCCTAATGTCCTTTAAAGGCTGATCTTTTATGCTCTAGACAGCAGAAAAAAAATCTGAAAACAAACCAGCCAAACACATAAGCCCCCMAAAACTCCATGCATTTAAGGAGATTTTAGTGATGTCTTAAATGCAGGAGAAAAAGACAGTTTCAWATCTGCATAGAGTTGTGTTGAAATCTGTACTTTATCTAACCTGTTCATCTCTTGGTCAGCACATTCTATTTAGGAGGAARGAGTATGGCAATTTATTTCCTTTCTTTAGGTTAGCCCATTCTAAAAAGCCACCATCCTTTTTAAATCCCAGACTTCTCACACATAACCATATCCTGAGGTGTTACAAGATCACTTCTTACTTTGAGAAAGTTAATAATATTTTTCATTGGAGAAATAAAATGGGAAGTGAGTTAAGACCATTAAAGAGGGCAACACTTGACTCTGGCCTAGGTAACAAYAGTGCAGAAGAAAATGAGATGGGTCCACAGACATGAAGGAGGCTGGGAAAGGCAGGAGCTGTTGCTGCACTGGAGTAACTGCTGGCAGCACTGAGACAAACACGGGGAGCAGTTTGCTGCAGCCACTGTCCTGCTTGTACTTCAGAGGCTTTACCCAGTTCATGTCCAGAACACATCCCTTTTGTCCATACTGCCCCTTCTCAGGACCTTGCTGAGACTTGCAGAGGTGATTTAAAGGACAGCCAGAGATGAACAGAGCTGCTGCCTTTGCTGAGCAAAGAGTGTTTGCTGGCCACAGTCCCCTGTGCCAGGCACAGGAGTGATGGAAGATGGGCCCAGGTACTTGGATTGTCCATCTCTTGTTCTCCTCTCAGACCATGTGTTTAGGATTGCATCATCCYTGTGGAAGCAGCAAAGACAGACCAGATTCAGCTGATCATTGCCTTACTGCCTGTTTTCTCACTGGGACTAAATTGTATTCCTGTGCATTCCCTTCAAGTTTGAGCTTCCAGGGAGTACACATGACCTTGGAGTTAYGGCTTCTTCTGATCATGCACTAATGTTTAGAATGGAATTGACAGAAGTAGCCAGAAAATTCAAAGTTCTAACAATTTTTTATTTAATGTACACTTATTTTTTAAAGCTGTGTTTAATAGTTTGCCTGTATTATACCTGTGCATTCAGTATTTACCAAAAAAAATTGCTGCTAATTTTGGGGTAAGGATCTCAGCTATGAGGCCAGTGTTATCTATGTAATCAGTTTTCCATTCATATGAAAAACCAAGCAGGTAGAAGTGTGGAAGAGGTGGGCAAATATTGTGGTATTCCTTTTGGGTCCACCTGTAACATAATAAAATGCAAACTGTAAAGAAAAGGAAGAAATCATGTGCAGCTTCCTAACAGTCTGGCTGTGTTGSGAAGTGGGATTAAAGACTTGCCTTCAGTTTAAATTTGTGACTTGCACAGATCCCAGAGTGCTCTGGGTTTGTGCCTTGCTGCAGCCCTCAGCTGTCTCCAAGCTGTGGCTTTCTTTGGGAAGAGTAGTTGTCAATTAGTACTGATTAATTCTACAACAGCTGTAAAACTTTTTTTTTTTTTTCTTTTTTTTTGTCAAAAGATAGCACAGAGGCTGAATTTACAGAGCACTTGAGATTACTGTTCTCATTACACAGAATCCAAATGTTGTCCTGTGTCAGAGGGTGTTGGAAATGCCTGCTGGATACCAGCACTGGCATTCACATATCTGTCAGTTAGTTACAGRTGACTTATGTTCTCAGAGAAATTCTGTGACCTTTTCCATAGCTGCTGTTTGCTTTATCTCTTACACTCTCTCAAAGTATTTAGTCATAGCAGCTGTCAGACAAGACTTTAGAGCAGCTGAATTATTTCTCTGATTGGAAATAATTTTGGGGGTGGTTTTTATAACTTTCTGCAAGACTGCGTATATTTAGGTAAGAATATTCTTACATTGTATGTATTGGAAATGGGGCATTCTGTTTTGTAAAACACATCATGCTGAGTGTGTTTTAGTGCTAGAGAGAAGGACATTATGGTGTGCACTTATGGTGCTAACTAGAGTAGGACCTAGTCCCAATAAACAGTGCCTCAGGTGGCAGAATTTGCCAAGGCTCCTAGAACCTGATCTTTTGAAGWGAAACTGGTGGTTGTGATATTTTTKCATGGTTCTGGCTGGCTTTCAGGCCAGGCCACAGTGTTCTCCCAGCCACCTTGGCACCAAAGCTCTATCTCTTACACAGACCTGCTGTAAAGGTCTTCACCCCTAAATACTTTGTTTGCAATTTTATAGCCTGCAGTCTATGTGGGTTAGATGCATGGTACAGGTATTTCCAGCTGGCATTGGGAGAATGAAAAGAGATTGAAAAAAGATTTCAGGTTCCTGCAGAATTTGTTGCACGTCTGTGATGTGGAACACTGATGCCTCGTTACCAGAGGCACTGGAAATGTAGCACCAACTTGTCAGAAGRTACTGCTGGTCCTCATGTCTGCTGTGAACTGCAGTACAGTAACTTCTCATTGCAAACTTCAYGTATGTGATAGTTGCAGCAGTTTAAAAAGCTCTTTTTTGGCAGAGAGGAAGAAAAGGTAGAAAAAGGAAAAAAGCAACACTTGTAAGGATGTTCATACATCTGCTTGAAATCACTTCTCCCTGGAGAGAGCTACCTCTCTTCCGCCTATATGTGGCCCTTAGGCTACCAGCTAAGGTTTGCTAAATTACGTCTAGCATAGGTGAATACAGAAAAGACAAATCTCCCCTTTCCCTAGAGGGAGGAGAGGGTGGTTAAAAGGCCTTTGTAAGTATGTGTAGTACATTTATTGTTTTCCTGTTATTGTTGAGAGAGGTTTTAGGTTTGAGGGATATATTTTTTTTTTAATTTCCCATGTTTATTTTATAAGGCTGATAATATTTACCTGAATCTCTGTTCCACTAGTTTGTCTTCTGTGAATGAAGCTGCATCATCAAAAATTCGCTTACATGTCCTAGCTGTGAAAACAGTCAGTGTTGATGAAATTTGAATAAGAGAAATAYRAAAGTGCAGTTTACCACAAAATWAATTATAGAAKTTATATTGAAATATTATAGAGTRTATCTGGAARTATTTTGATGTTCCTTTGTTCTATGTGTTTCACCTCTTACCTCTGTCATTTCCTATTTCTGTCTTGCGCTTTCAATCTSCAAAAACCTGCTGTAGGCCAATGTTACGTGGGGGGTCAGCTGCTACCACTTCTAACCCTCATCATGACAACACCAGGTAAAGAGCATTTTTTTGTTAGTCATGATCCACTAATTCTAAAATTCAGATTTCTGTTTCCCTCTTTCTARTGTTATTTTAAAACACAATGCTTATTTTTGTGCTACCTCTCAACTCTTGAGATATTTCAGGCCTTGATTCCTTCCCCATCCAAGTCACCTGCCCAGATCTCAGTTGTCTGATAGATACAATGTGCTGCACAACTCTGACTCAGAGTAATGCATCAGTGGGGGCTCTTAAATTACATGACCTGTACAGTTCAAGTATTTGCTATTTAATACTGACCTTGCTAGAAAATTTGGCCTTACCTCTTAATTTGGAGGTGCTCTCAGTAGCATGCCTGTGATTGTTCATTAGTTGTAGCTGGATGTCTTTTCAATGCCATTGTCTTGGCAGATTGACATCGTTTCAGTGGAACTGGATAAAAGATTGACACAATCCCATGGTCAGGATGATGGAAAAAAATAGTCCCTTCACATCCATTTTTCCCATTTGCCATTTAGACTACAGTGTTTTCATGGAAATGGAGGTTAGATKTGTGCTTAAGCAGAAACTGGATTCAAGCAGGTGATTCTTCTCTAACTCAGGAATTCTTTTTTGAAAAGGTCCAAGAGATATCTCAAGGGATTTCTTGCTGGTAACCCTCTTGATTTAATACTTGGAATGGTTTGGAAATCGGTAGAGCAGCAGTGATACACTGTGATATTACAGTCAATTGATGTGACCTGGAGAGAAGCATGTGCATCTCACTGAAGTGCTGACCCTCCCTGCCTTTCCCAGGACAGCCTGAGGGACAGCTGTGCTGTAGATCTGATAGTATTTCCCAAATTTTATCATCTACTACAAATTAAAAAATGGCTACAAAAAGACCCTCATCAGAATTCTCTTCAGCTTTCAGAGGACCTGTGGAGTAAAAAAAACCTGATTTATTTTTTTGCAAAGCTGAAGGAGATCATTGTTATTGAAATCCAGACTAGTGCAACTCTTATGTGGAAACAGCAATTCTTATTTAGAAACAAAGTATTGATGAACAATGATACATGGAGACTTGACAATTTGTCTGTTGTGGGCAAGAGAGGCTGCTTGAGCTGAGGGCATTCTGAAGAAGTTTCCTGTAAATAATGGAAGAAGCTGCAGTGCAAAAGTAGCTTCTACACTTTAATGCATTCTCAAGCTCCAGGAATTCCACTCATATTCTCATTAGTCTRAGTTGGTCATTAACTGTCATTAAATGCTAAACATTGTTTTGGATGTATTTGTTGGGAATTTGATTACCTTGGCATTATTTTGTTTCATTTCCTAAGCTATTTGCAGCAATTGTTCATGGGTCCTAAYGAGAAAGGAAGTCAAGGGGAGCTAATATTGGAAAGAGTGAGGTTTTTAAGGTAGTGAGAACATCAGGTTTAGGTGCAGGATCAGGAACTGCTTTTACCTGTTAGTTGTTGGAAATTAATSTGGTTAAGAGATACAACTTGGATAATCAAAATACATACCTATGTAGACATTCTGCCACTTTCTAACTGATAATAAATATTCTGTATTTATTTAACTTGTCCTGGAGGTGGAATAATRCTCTTTCTGAATTGCTGCATAAAAAAAAATGGAGAGTGCCCTGCAAACAAAGTTTTTAATACACAGAAAGTTCAGCTAGCAGTTARTGCACAAGGATCTGTTTGCCAGATTCTCTACTTAAAATACAGAGATTAATGTGACTGAGGTTCTTAATCTCAGTAAGTGTCCCCTTATATCYCCTTGGGATATTTAAGTAGATACTGAGCATAAGACACTTTGCAAGTTTGGTTATTTCTACTCTTGCCAGTTCTCTTGCARCTTTGGCACTTTAGGTCAGGCAATGTTTAGGTTTCATCAATCAGTTAAATAACTGGAAACAGTCTTTTGAGGAACTGTATGTCAACAGGCAGATTGTCTTTGTGGAGAATCTTCAAAAATATTTAAGTGTGGAGAGCAATCAATCCAAATTTAGTCAAGCATTTCTCCATATGTGTTTGTGATTTACTCAGGACCCTATTGAAATGCAACTCTGTAACAGCTGCAAAAAAAAATTACAATTCTTCTCTCCATCACCACCAAAATATAAATTTACTAGAATGCTGATAAAATATGGTACTTGCTGATCTTTGCCTGGCTGAGACAGCTGAGCCTTCTCCTTTGTTTAATAGATATGGTCTCTCCAACTTCGATACGACRCTTGAGGGAACACCAGATGACATGACAGTTGTAGATGCTGCCTCCTTAAGAAGACAGGTATGTAAAGCACAGTAGTTGACAATATTAGGACAAAGCTATAGTGGTAAAATAGGGGGAAAGGTTTTCTTTATGACTACAAAGGTATCCACAACAGGCAAGTCAAGGGCCCCTCTCTGTGCCCCTGCTGGACTGCCTTCACAGATCATGTATTGTTCTGGGAATCAGGAGAATCTGACTCCATTTCTGTCCCTGCTTATTAGGGACTGCAAGATCTGATCACTACTGATTGAAGACAGAAAGTCAAATTCTGAACTCTTTAACATCTGTKTGAGATACTAATTTTACGTTGTTATTCAGAAGCTTCTAAAAAGTTTTGCAACTTTTAATGAAATACTAAAAGCCTGTATTTGTTTCTAGATAATCAAACTTAATCGCCGTCTCCAGCTTCTGGAAGAAGAGAACAAAGAGCGTGCTAAGAGGGAAATGATCATGTATTCCATTACTGTAGCTTTCTGGCTACTCAATAGCTGGCTTTGGTTTCGGCGCTAGACACAGCTCRCAGAAAGATTTAGTTGTTGAAAACACAAACAATTTAAAATTCCTTGTTTCTGTTTCTGACTTGTATGCTGTTTTATAATGAGTACACTGGAAACTTCCAYCACAGATAAAGGCTCTAGAATTGCAGTGTTAAAGGGACACCTTGTTCAGTTATAACGTATTTAATAGATTTGCATTGCAAATAATGCAGTATCCTCCTTTGCATGCTTCTGTGTAACATGGACCAGCCCGTGGGAAGTCTGCTTCATGCAGTGTGACAGTGGTCTCCAGGACTGACCACTGGATGTTTCGTTGTGGAGGGAAGAGAACAAATAGAATGGGTTTGGAAAAAAATACAAAAAGGAATAAAAAGTCATTTTTTATTGTTCTGTTGTTAGATGCARTTAAACAATTGCATTAGTTTTCCTTTTTAGTCCAAGTAGTTTGAGGTGTGCCATAATCAAGGAGTGTGTCCTGTTTCATGAGTATGTTCCTTGTTTAAGTACATGTTCAGGTTGAATAATAAAAGGAATTCTTTGCTAACATGCAGATTGTCCAGAGGTGTGTAATATATAATTTTTCTTTAGGTTTAATTTTGCAGATGTTTTTCTATAAAATACATTTTTAAGCAAGTCAGTCTGTGAGTGATCAAAATATTATGAAGTACAAGATATTGAGGTAGTATCTTTAATAAAATTCTCTCCAAAAAATCCCAACCCCAAACCATTGTTCAGTATTTTAAGAGAATTTATTTGAGGTTTTATGTAAACTATTAGTCTTTGAAGTAAGTAGTAGTAGTGCCCTGAACAGYTCCAAAGCAGCAGGTGGGCATGTGACAGCCCAGTGCAGGCTCCCATCCCCTGGGTGTTGTGCTGTGTTCAGGGTGTGTGGTGGGCATGGGGAACCATCCTGGTGTCCCCCGATACCRGGGTCAGTTTAAACATCTCCTGCTCACCCTCGTGATACACCTTTTTTGGTAGATGTTGTCACAGCTCCTGAKGGAGCTCCCTGCAGGCGGGTGGCTTCCTGCCCTTCCATGGTTGCAGCAGCCGCAGCCCTTTCCCCGCGGAGCGGGCAACAACTCATCGTTCCAGTGTGCGAGAGCACGGGCAGTGACACCACAGCACTGCTTCAAAAGAGCSCTTCCTTAGCACAGCTGGACCCAGCCCCCTGTGCAGGACCCTTTTTGGGCTGTGAGGGGCACAGCGGCATGAAGAGACAATGATGCACAGCGGTGCAGAAGAGGAGCCGGGGTGTGTTTCGGCGCTGTTGTCGCTGAGCGCACAGCACAGAGCGCACAGCGCAGTGCCCGGGCGGTGCTGGGGCTGCACGCAGGGCTCGGGCCGGTGCAGCAGTGCCCTGGCAAGGACTGGGATTCCGGGAGCAGCGGCATGACAAGGCCTGAGGATTCTGATACAGGTGCTGCAAGTGCTGCGGGAAGGCTGCTCTCATACATTTCCTGTGCTGTGGAGTTGGGTGGGTTCAATGTGTGGCTGTTGCGCTGCTGCACAGGTTGCTGTTCCTGCTTCCTTGGCTTGTCCCATAGGGCTGTGGCACATGTTTTTTCTCAACTTTGTTTATCGTGTTCTGTGACTTCATTGAGGCGTTTGCTGTGCATGTTTTCTTACAGTGAATGTTGAAGCGTGTGCCTTTGTCTTTTCGTAAAGACAATACAAAGGGCCAGGCCTGCTTTGCACATTTTCTGCATTTTCATGAGTTTTATACCATGACCTTTGTGCTAAAGGTGTACTGTATGAACTCTGATGGTGCAAGTGAGGGCTGAAATATTGTACAAAGAACTGTAAAGGCAATAGTCAAAAATAAAGCTTTTAAGTACAAAAAACCGGACTTTTGTCTTGCACGTGGGAATGGAACTCGATTTCAGAACGCCGCCACCGGAGGGGCCGCCCGTGGGGCACGTTCGGCGGGAGCCGCTGCCCCGGGAGCCGCTGCGAGCTCCCCGCTCACACCGCGGGGMTGTCCTGAGGGCTGGCGGGCACCCCGCCTGAAGGTCCCAGCCGAAACACCCTGGCGGCCCAAGCCGGGAGCCCCGGCGCCGCAGCTGCCCCGCTCCCGTCCTCAGTGGGGCACTCAGCGGTGCCCGCGATACCCGGGCCCGGTTCCGCCGTCCCGGAGCTCTTCGGGAGCTCTTCCGCCCGGAAGCCGCGGGGCGGAGSCGTCGCTGCCCGCACCCGCCATGGCCGCGCGGCTGCTCCTGCGGGCGGCACGGCCGCTCCTGGCCGGGGCCGGGCGGGGCACTGGGCTCTCCTCTGCACCCTCCACCGTGCCCGGTGCCGCGYTCAGCAGCGGGCCGCCCCCCGAAAAGAAGCGGTGGCTCCGGGCGTACCAGGAGCTGCAGCGGCTGCAGGCACCGCCGCAGCGGCGGTGAGCGGCGGGCAGGGTCGGGCGGGGCTCTGGTGGGGGAGGAACAGGCCCAGAAAGGAGGGAAATCAAAACGTTTAGGCTCCGTCTGATCACGCTTTGGAGTAGGATGGGTCGAGCTCCGCAGGTTGACGTTACCCAGGGCTGAACGGGGCAGGCAGACGGTGATGCGGAACCGACGGTGTTTGACCCCAGGGGTTTAAATACTGAGTATTCAAACACAATTTGATTTCTCGTTGCTTTTCGAAAGAGGCGCTGCAGGTAACGCGTTCTGTTCCTGAGCTGTTCCCTTTCCGTGCCCGCAGGTCCGAGCAGCCCAACTGGGATTACCACGCGGAGATCCAGGCCTTCAGCCACCGGCTGCAGGAAAACTTCGCTCTGGACCTTCTCAAGACTGCGTTCGTCAATCCCTGTTACATCGAAAGCGAAGAGGCGAGGCGCCGCCAGCTGGGGCTGGACAAGGACGCGGTGGCTCTTCAGCTCCAGGACAACACCGGACTTGCGGAGCAAGGGCAGCGCTTCGCCCGCGCTTACCTGGCGCAGTGCTTTGAAGGCGCCTACCCTGAGTTGCCTGCGAAAGGCGTAGAAGCGCTTGTTGATTTTCTTACCGGTCAGGAACTTGTCTCTTATGTGGCTCAAAACCTGTCCATCCAGGACCTGGCGCTTTGCAGGGATTTTCCTGCCCCACCGGGCGTGCTGCAGAGGACGTTCTTTGCTGTGATAGGAGCCTTGCTGGAAAGCAGCGGGCCCGAGACAACCGGGATCTTTGTCAGGGTAGGTCCATTTAATGCTGGTTTATACCTGGATGGCCAGAAATCCAGGGAGGTTGGCAGAAGTTTGACTGTACCTGTAACGACAATTTAACAATGAAATCTGTTGGGTGGTGGTGAGCTGAGGTTTGGGGGTTGTAGGATTTGGGGATTTTTTTTTTTTCTTTAAAAAGGCTGATCAAGTGCATAAAATCTTATAACTTATGGTTTATGATGGTGATACTAGTATTTGCTGAAAGTTGCTAAGGGAAAGTGTTGTATTCCATGCACTATACTATTGGATACTGAAATAATTCCATGTGTGATTTCATATATCTTCAATTTTAAAAAGCCCATTCTGTATAAGTGGGGATGAGTTCATAGGTTTTGCGTGTAGGAGTGCAAGCCCCTGAAGCTATTTCATACAAAAATGTTTGATTAAAATTCAGTGTGACAGAGTAGTTTTAGCAGCTAYCATTGTTTGAGTCATCCTTTTCACTTATTTTTCGTTTTGCAATGGAGAAGTGTTTGTTAAAATGTTCTTTCTGATGGAGGACCATTGTCTGTAAGAGCAAGGAGCATTTTACAGACGAGAGTGATCTAAACAGGAGAAACACGCGTGGGTTTGCACGTTCCCTGGAGCTCCTCTGCTGTCACAGCTCCTCTCTCAGGCTGGATTGTCCCTTCTCTGGGTCTGAGGCTGACTTTGCCCTGGGCAGGTCTGTGAGTGGCTAAACCACAACCAGAGACTCCAAGCACTGGCATGGGGCACTGAGGCAGCTTTATCAGGCATTTCAGCAATTCATTTTCAGTTACTGTCTCTTCATACTGTATTTTCATTAGCAGACACCAGAAGCTCAAGCCATTAATTGTAACTTCTAATTATTCTTGTTTAGGACTTTTTTATTCCCCAGCTGATTGGAAAAGACCTGTTTGAGATCTGGGAAGTTGTAAACCCTATGGGCTTACTGCTGGAAGAACTGACCAAGAGGAATATCTCTGCTCCAGAACCAAGAATTACCCGGCAATTGGGAGTCAGCACRGTTTTACCAGTCTACTTTGTTGGGTTGTACTGGTTAGTGCAATATTGATTTAGTTAAATGGATTTAATTGGAGGAGAGGGGAGGAGGGAAGATGGTCTTTTATTTTTCTTTTGGTGCTTTTTGGGCAAGTTGTTACAGAAAAGAAACCTGATAGCAACTTCCATATAAAATGAGCCATTGAAGCACTGGCTGTAACTCGCTGTGGTGATACATAAACAGTCTCTGATTAAAGGGCTCCAAAGGCTAAAGGGGGTGCACTAGAGAGCCTGGGYGTGTTCTGGGTGAGCTGGTACAGGAACTTTGGGAACAGCATAACGTCATGGCTTTGGAGGGACCACAGCTGTATCCAGGGCTTAGGTAAGGATGAACAGACATGAAGGGAGGTGGGATTTAAGTTCCAGAGAAGCTTTTTAGTTTTCAAACCACCATCACTGTAAACTGGGCCACAGGAGTGTCTGTGTCCAGGCAAGACTTAGGAAGTTCCAGTTGTCCCTGGTGCACTTGTGTCAGGTGTAGTCAGTGCTTGTCTGGGAGTGACATCGCTCCTGAGGGGCAGGACAGACCCCATGTCACTGCTGCTTTCCTAAAGGAGCTGCAGACAAACACGTGGGAAGGCTGCCTTAACTTGTTGTGTTTTATCCTGTTTGGTTTCTATGCCTTCATTATTTCTCTTCTGGAACCTGCGGTGTCCCTTCATGGACTGCTCGTATTTAGTGCCCATAGGTGTTTGATAAACAGAGCTGAGCATGGAATTCATAATAGAGAGAGCTTCTCTGTCAGTCTTTTTGAAGCAGTTCACAATGCTTCCTTACTGGGAGAGGAGAAAAGACAAAAGCATTTCAGTTCCTGTTTAAGCTAACCAGAGTAATGAATTTGCATATTCYTATCAGGGCTAACAAATTAAATGCTCTGAAGAATCAGTGCTATGTTAGGAATCTAAATGAACAGAGTGGTGCTCTGGGAAATGGACATGTTTCTGATCTGAGTTTCCCTTATTGTATATACAATCACCTTTGCAGGAAAGACCAACAGGAATGTTTCCATTGTGTTTATATAGAAATCAGTATTCACAGACACTGAAGGAAAACCCATCTGTTTTATTCATGGTACACAGCAGTGCTCAGAGTTTCATAATGAACATGGTTGTAACTTTGTTTTATTTTCCCCAAGTGATAAGAAGATTATAGCTGAAGGCCCTGGTGAAACACTGCTGGCTGCAGAGGAGGAGGCTGCACGCGTGGCACTGAGGAAACTCTATGGATACACAGAGAACAGGAGACCTTGGGATTACTCCAAACCYAAACAAGGATTAACAGCTGAAAAGGCAATCAGCAGTAATTAGATGCTAAAAGACATTTCTGGTTTATTTTTAAAATGAATGGTTCCCATGCTGAATAATAGTGTATTTGGAAAAGCAAAATACAGTTTGTTTTTCTGGTCTTCAGTGCTTGAAACTTCCAAATCAAATATGGTATTAAATAAAGTCTTTTCCTTTTGCACAATGTTTAATGTTTGCTCATTCTCCTAAATATATAACAGACGCGCCCTTAATCTGAATTTTTGCCTTTTGTGTGAGAAGTTTTTCTGTACATCACAGGAGACTGTTTTTAGTTATGTGTAATAATGTGTGACAAAGTCTTGCTGTACACCAACAAGTTTTATTTATGCTTTCTTGGAGGTTTGTTTGGAGAGGATTGTTAACAAGCCRAGTTGAATTAACATGTGCAGCATCAGTCTTTGGATTGCATCTGGGTTTGTTTGTCCTTAACCTTGTGAAAACATCAAGTGTGATGATGATCCTGACACTGTTGGAGATCCAAACTTCTGAGATCTTGTGTTTTCATACAAATTTTATTTGCCATGCACATTGCTTTTTATTGTTGGAATATGCTTTGAAAGATTTTTAAAATTTGTAAAAATGCCTCTATTGCAAAATGAGAAAGTAAGAAGAAGGATCATGAAGGCCTGAACCTAAAGAAATTGGAGAACATGATTTAATGATAGCCTGTAAAATAAGCTTTTTCTTTTTTTCTCCTTTTTTCTCTTTTTGTAGTTTTCCTGTTTAGTCCATATACCTTTATTTAAGCAGTCACATGACTGAAGTATTGGACTTAATGAAATCAATGTTTGTTTTGTTTGCAGCATCTGTAGCTGTTTTAATGTCATTCCAAATGAATGGAAAGACACTTGGGAATAACTAATTAACCTGAATGATATTCCTGTTAAATGTCATAGAAATTCAGCATGTCTACCAGAGGACAACAGATGTTTGAGGGATGTGGCTCTTTTGGAATAATTTTCTTAAAAAATAAGTGAGAGTCTATTACAAACTGGAACTGAGCCCTGCAAGGAAGAWGCTGGATGTAGAGCACTTGTTCAGGAAGTGTTTCCTGCTTTATCCCATTGTTAGCATTGATTGTAAAAGAAGACATCAAGTAAATGTGCCTGCATTAGTAGGAGGAGGAAAAATTAAGCAGGTGGCCATTCATCCAAGTCTGGCACTGCTGTTCATTGCAACACATCCTTTGCCTTTGACCCACGGGATGGATTTAGGGGAGTTCACTTGGCAGCCAGAGGTCCTGGTAAGTTCTGTGCTGTGGAGTGATTGCTGGCTCTGTCAGCCCAGTGGAAACAGATTTATTGGTGTCCTAAAAGCAAAAGGAGTCTGTGACACTTGAGTGTCTCCAGCACTGAGTGCCCTGCATCTTACCTGGTGTAAACCACCTCTCTGGCTGGAGAGCAGTGACTTTCYTGCTGCCTCTGGCACGGAAGGTCACATGAGGGAGAGCTGGAATAGAAAAAAAGGAGGGCAGAAAGATCAGCCCAACATAAAAAAATGCATAAAATCGCTTGTGTTAAGTGAAAAATTCCAACTATGTAATCTATTACCACTTACATAAGCAAAGCCAAGGTCATTATATTCCAGGGGAATAATAGTAAAATGTGAAAAGATGRTAAAATTACTCATGCTATTTTTAGTTTCCAGATGAGGTTATTGCTCTTTACCTATTTTAAAAGGACAATAGCGAAGGTGGGTTTTTTTACAGCCAAAGTTACCTACTGTTTTTATATATATTTATRTATTTTGAGATAGAGAAAAAAGCAAATTTCAGTCAGTTTTCCTTTAAAAATRTTTAAGATTTGCTTACTATGGCTTTATAGTTTAGAATGTGGCTGTAAGTCCTAGGAGAAGTGATGCAACATAAATCAATTTACTCTGTGGCACATGTATGGAATGTATTGAGATCAAATGAAAAGACAGTTTGGGGACATGGAAAGGAAGGACTGGGTTTTTATAGAGGTGTGACTGGAAAAGGAGTTTTTATAAGAAAATGTGTCCTATTTTCAAGTTTCTAAAGGTMARAAAAGCATTTTATATGGTATCTGTRCTTTAATTTCTGACAGTCAACATATATACCAGGATTTACAGCTGTTTATTGGGATCATTTACATACCTCAGATTACTAACCTTTTTCCTTGTTTTTTAAATCAGTAACCATAAACCATATCTAAGTGGTATTAAAAGACTTGTTAGACCTGCAGAAGTCAGTATCTACAAAGTGGCAGCTCAGAAACATTGTTCATGAAATTCCATGGCAGTTTTGTCTGAAAAGTGCTTTGTGAGCTGCTTGCATTGGTGCTGAGAAAAAGTGCATTTRTGTCTCTCAGTGGTTGTTCCTTTCACTGTCACATTTTTTTTTATCTTTCAGAGACACAATAGATTAAGCAAAGTGTCAGTAATGGCTGAGAGTAAGGAATCAGGACACTTTACTCTTGCAACCCTTTGAAGAACTCATTGATTATTGTTACAAAAACTACATTTTTAAACTCAGTAAACAGGAAAGGCTAGTAGCCTAGACTTTCTTTTTCTCCGAATGTTAGATAAATCTCCAATGTGTGAATGGTCTTGGATTACTCTGTTTCTGTCACCTACATCCTTTGCCTTATTTTTTTTCAAGYGTTGTAAATTTATTTTGAGAAAGAGAAGTTCTATGCCATTGATCCCAGCTAAGTACTTGGAAAAAAAAGTCTTAATATGCGTTTATGCACTGTTGTTAAGTTCTGTTCTCAGTTTGTGCCTTTGCTCATGTGTATCAGCAGTTCAGGGATGTGACTGAGCACTCAGTTCCATCTCCTTGCTTTCAGCTGCAGCTTCTGGTTACAATAACCAGATATTTTGCTGCAATTTTCTCTTAACAAAAAAAAAGTCCAGGAATAATTCTTGTGTTAATTATTGCTGTGGCTTAAAGGCAGGAGATTAAAACACAATAATTTCGCAGTTATCTTTTTGTTGATTCAGACTTTGAAACTGTTGGTGAAAAGTCAAAGCTTTTACTGGTATAAGACTTTTAAAAAATGTTTTATAACAATCTCTTGGGTTTTATGACAAATCAAAAATTTAAATGAGGTGCTCTGGTGTCATGCTGCTATACAAAGCCATGAAGAATTCAAAACATCAAAAGATGTGTTGTCATTGTATTTTGCAGGGCAGAGGGAGGGGATGGTGCAGTACAGAAACATTAGAAGAGCCCTACTTTTCCTTGTCCTTAACTTTACTGAGCACTGTGGTAACTTTAAAGAAGCTCTGAACTATTTGGGTTCTCTTACATCAGAGCTTTGAAGTTTAATATTGAGAGATGCACTTAGTGCAGAGAAGCAAACACTTCTCAGCAAGGACAGGTTGTTTTTGTCTTTCCAAAACGATTCCCCAGATGTAATGGCACTAGTTTTGCATGTTTCCCATTTCAGCTTGCCTAAGAAACTGAAGATAGAGTGCTCACCAGTCGGTCAGTAAATAGCCCCTGTCAGTGAGAGGCTGCAGAGTGGGAACAGCTGCTCTGTATGACAGAATCAGAGCACTATTGAAGGCTCTTGGTGATTCCTAAATCACAGGCACACTGCAATGCAGCTCTTCGTGGTGCACATAAAAACTGGGCTGCTCTTCTTTGGGGAAAGAGTAGCCCTAGGGAGAAGGTAAACATCATCACTTTCTATTTTTGTGTAAAAAACATAGTGTTTCTGCCGGTCTGTGGCAGCTGTGCTGGGAACTGTGCTCTTGAACTTACATGTTTATCTTCAAACGTGTTACTTTTGGACACATTAAATCTTTTGCTCCTGTTGCTCCAGCAGGGCACAATAAYAGAAACTTACTTTTCTGATGTGGAAATTAAAATTTTTGCCTCACCTCTGGAACTATTCATTGGCAGCTGTGCTCACTTGTTCTTATATGAATGTTCTTCATCAGAAGAAATCCTAATTTTATTGAYGTTAGGGGAACTTTGCATTTAATTCCAATAAGATTAAAATTTCATCAAATTTTGAACCTGTTTGAGAGCTCCCCTGTAAGCAGCATTGCAATAGCTCTACAGTCCTGAGTTTTCCCTTAATTGTTGTGGGATGCTTTTATAAATAAGAGCAACATTTGTTTTTCTAACTTGAGTAATATTTTTAGATTAATTGTTACCTGACCTTTTTAGTATCTTTGTCCTGAAGGCACAATTTTGGTTTAAAGCCCTTAATTTTGTTACTTTTTGTAGGAAACCAATATGAATTGCATCAGGAGGTAGGTGTGTCTGTTAAAAATGGTATTTTCAATAGTCATTTGAATGACTTGGCCAATGTTTATGTAGCATTTCTAAATATTAAAAATATGTAACTTGCAAAAAAAAAGTTCTGAAAAAATGTTTTGATATCCACCTTCAAAGAAATTTAACACTGTTTAAAGCAAGTTGTTTCAGTAGCTAATGGTGAGCTGTAGTCCTTGGTTTCTGGCAAGAGATTCMATAGTTTCATGATTCCCACATATTTAGTCAAGTTTTGAATCAAATCTTCAGTTTATTTGTGGCTTTCTGGGGGAGTGGGTAGGGTGGAATTCTGCTGGCAATTTTTTTTGCAGTGCTATTGCCAGATCAAACAATTAGGCCAAGTGGAATGAAAAATCGGTGTGTGTGCCTCCAGGCTGAAGGAAACACACTGGTGGAGCACCACTGCCCTRCATTAGATCTAAACCTAGGAGAGAAAATTCAGAGTAATTTGAGTTCAAAGACAGCATTCTGAAATCTGTTCTTGTGGMGTATTGCCTTCAAAGACACAGTCCTGCAAAATTAGGAAAATACCATTGAAACTAAGGAAGTGTCACAGAATCATGTAAGAGAATTAATCTGGGGAAGCGTTCCCACCACCAGGGGGCAAGGGTTTGTCTAAAAGTTCTGGCTTGGTTAAATGAAGAAATCCAGTTACTTTAGTGGTTATTTTAGTAGCACTAGGAGTCACAGCTTTGTTCTCTAAGTTACTGGCAAAAAATAGTGTTTAGGATGACAACAGAACAAAACAATTTGTGAAAATAATTCCACCATAAGAGAATGTTTAATGAGGAAAAGAGACCAGAAAGAAAATGGCTTCATTAGTTGAGCTAGTTGAATGTTAATGGAAATTGTTCTCTTTAATTTCAAGTGATGGGGACTGGAATGTTTATAATTTTTTTTAATAGTCCATCAGRAAAAATACAGTTGCCTAATCTAAAAGTGTATGTCTGAGGGTTTCCTATCCCATTACACAGACCTTCTGATCGAGTAGACTGTGGCAATGAACTTGGGAGAGCTACTTTTATAATTTGATTAGACTTTCATTACTAGGGAGCTGATGGGTTCAGATTTGAATGATTTCCCTGTCATTTTCTGTTTATAATACCAGAGTACAGTTCAGTTTTGCTTTTATGTTTCTTTTGCAGTAGAAATATATGTTAAATATTTAATTTCTATCTCAAATATTATGTGTTGCTATTTCAGCATGTTTTCAGTCAGGCAGTTTTCAACAACCTGTGGCCAACAGGCAATGAGACAACACTTGGAGGAGAAAAGAAAAGATTACATTCATATTGACACTTATCAGATTCCCCCATGGCAATTCATTATTGCTGCTTCTGCTGCTCTGATTACTTTAGAATGAACTTAGATGCCCACAGCCACAGTTTCACTTCAAGACCCACAGCATTGCACATTTTTTTCTCAGCTGCTGGGAATCTGCCCTGACAGTGTCCTGTGACTGCAGGCATGATGTCCAAGTGAGGTTTGTGAGGATTTCCTTGGTTCAGGCTGTGTGCTTCATGAACAGGCACACTGCTGAAGTTCATGGAAATCTAGGCCACAGCAAACTGTTGATTATTCCCCAGTTTCAGAATTAGGTCATTTATTTCATTTATTTCTTTGAAAGATTCTTGTTGAATTTATTAGTTTTTAATTGGTTGTTTCAACTGCCCACTGGAAGGATTGGCGATAGGATCAAGTGTTCAGGAGATCATCATGGATCAGGTTGTATTTAGTTGATCTCATATATTAAAACAGTCTGTTTAAAAATACGTTTTAAGTTTTTTTTTTTTTTTTTTCTTGATTGGAGTACTATACTCACGATTTCCCAGGAATCAAAAACATCAGGGATTAGATGATAACAACAAAAACAATAAAGTTTGATAAGATTTGGAATAAGCTTCAGAATTTTGCTTTAGAGAAAAGGTCCCCTGTGTTGCAGAAGGGAGTTGTTGCTAGTRACAGTACACACCACTGAGTTATCCAACTTGTACTAGATAATTTTTGAAACCTGCAAGGAACAATTTCCTGCTTCAAGATAATTTCCTTTTTTGAAGCATAACAAAACATCATTTAACATGAAGATGTCATTGCAAAGAGCTGTGACAAATAGTTGGATTTCATTCTACAAGAGGATGACAATGGCTGTCAAGAGGACCGAGGGCAATTGCAGGCATTGCCTGGCAATGCTGACAGGCTGTAGCAAAGAAACAAAACACATGGTGCTTCAGAGCAAAGCTGAACCTGCAGAGTATGCTGAACTTCACTGACTGCTTATAATGAGAAAATACAGAAAGAACTAAACCTTTTCTCAGGTGGGTTTGAACAGTGATCTCTGTCCATGGTGGGAAGAGTAGGAGTGTAAAGGAATTTACCCTGGCAAATGCCTAGGTCAGTATCAATGGTAACTTTTCAATAATTACTAAGAAACATTTCTCTTAAATGAGAGAAAGGTTCCTTTGCTTAAATTGGTTTAGTTTTGAATGATTACACTACTAATCAGCAAAGCTGCAGTGTGCAGCAATGCACAAGGCTCCTCCAGCTCCTCTATCTCCTGCMTGCACGTGGCCCCAGGGCAGCTGGGAGGATATCTGTGGACACAGAGGGACATGCAGGGAGGGGACAAGATCCTGAAGGGTACTTCTGGCATCACAGCAGTCTCTCTAAACCGGCTATCAATACATCAAAACAGAACAACTGGAAAGCTGAAGCTTAAGTAGTAAAACACTGGKGTCTGAAACAACYTCATACAAAGAGGAGCAGGATRTAAAAGYTCTGTGTATTCATAAAATGGAWCTTGATAATTTAGGGAAGTTGGGGYAAWGTGAGAAGAGAGATCTAAAGAAGTTTTACTAGCAGGGTTGCAAACTCTAAGAATTACAAGAGACTTGATTAGAAGTCCCAAYTTGTAAAAAATACTATGCTTCCCTAACAGATTCTGTAATACCTTTGTTTCCATATTTGTGATGATTTATAAACTGTCAGGTTCCTTCTCCCTACCAATTTTCTCATCCATGGTACCCTTGAGGGCCTTGTTGGTGGGATTTGTTTCCATTTGTATAAAATCTCTTGCACATCAGGGGTGTATTTCTCAAATTCCTGTGTTTATGTCAGTAAGACACTGCTATTTCCTCAGATTTTTCTTTCACTGTGCTGTTTCACAGTATTTATGAATTCTCTTCCTTGTCTGCAAACCAAAATGAGGTTTTATTCTATTCAGGCTGCAAAAATGTTCTGAACACTTACTCTTTTCCCATTTCCAAAACCCAGTACATGGAMTACTACTACGCACAGTATGGCCTTAATTATTCATTTATTTCTGATGGTTGTTTTGTTCTTAGGGTTTTGTTGTGTTGTTTTTTGTTTCTTTTTTTTTAATTTATTTAAACATGTAACTAGTAAAACTAGTAAATATTAAATATTCCTGTCACGTAATGAAAAACACTTCTTTTTCATGTCAWGTCATTTTGATTAAGTCACATGAATATAAGCATTTCTCTTTTTTATCTCTTGGTTAAAAAAGAGTTTTTCTATTTGACAAATGCTTTCAAAATCAGTCTTCTCAGCTGAAATTCCCACACATTGTTTCCAAGAGACATGTCTRTCATTGCCACTTCACTAGAGAATGCATTCTGGAAAGAAATCTTAATTTTTTAAGCTATTTATAACTACAAATATGGCTTGCAGTGTTCAAGGCAAGGCACTGCAGGTTCTCCTGCTGTACAGCAGAAGGTTGTGGCCTGAACATCAGGGGATTAATTTTTCTTGTTTAACCAGTTATTCTAAACAACAATTYGAAGGTTTGTTTTTGTACTTCTGAAGAAAATAACATGGAGAGAAAATGCTAAACCATTACTAGCCTTAGCATTATTTTTCCTATGTATGGATTGAGATTAGGCTTCTACTGCAGAAAACCTCCCCTAAGAGGGTATTTGCAGCTACCAGGGATTATCCATATCCACTCACTGCAACTGCAGGAGCCTGTGCTACATTCCCTGGGGGATCTTTTTCTCTGTTGTGCATCTTGCTACTGCTTTTATTTTATCTGTTAATGCTACTGATCATAAAGCCCTTCTCTCTGCAGTTTGAACAAAACAGATTCCCAAGGATTAATGGAAGAAATCTTGGTGACAACATCTCAGACTTTAAAATTGCAGTAGTGAGAAACATTACACTAAAGTTCATAGAACTGGGTTTCTTTTTGTAGTTGTCCTCTAAAATATTTTTTTTCAGAAATGGAGTGACTGAGAAACTTAATTTTCCCATATTCACATGACATAGATTATCTTCTGTATTCTTCTATTTCAATGTCTGACATCTAAAAGCTCTATTCCCTCTTTTTTAAAGTCCATCTCCATTGCTTTAAGATACTGTTCTTTTTCATCTCCTTTAGAGTCCAAATGGATGTTTTCATGATGTTTAGCTATTCTGACACTTGTTATATTCATCGATTTGTGCAGTGCAGTGTACAAAACTTTGTTTATCAGGTAAGATTCAAACATTACTACATTGGAGGCAGAGATTTACAATCTCAGTGTTTCAGATCATGCAGTGCATGACAGGTATTTCGTGACTTGTCTTGGCAACTGTGACTCAGTGCACTTGTTTCTTTCTTTTTGTCCTTTTTCATTCTTTATATAATCAGGTTGCTTTAGAGAATTAGAAAGTTATGGAGCTGTTTTCTAGATTCCAGTTGTTGACACTGCTTCAGGAAYACCAGAAGCACTGAAAGATGTCTGCTCAGAACAGCTAATTCTACTCTAGTATTCCCCAAATCAGCCCTCAAGTGATGTTTGTTAAAATAAATACAATCCTAGAGAAGTATGAAGGAAAATATGTGAGTTTTCTAAAGTGTGTGCAAATAAAAGAACATTGACTGGATATGCTGTTTCTCCTATTTTAATATTGTTTCCCTTACTGATATTTGTGAAATTACCAGTAATTCTTTTTGCCCAATGTAAGGCTCTTCTAAGACAGCACTAACCAATARCAGTTTCCACAAATTAGACTGACTAATCAATAATTTAGATTCATTAGTGGAAAGGAACAAAGGCCTCTCTTTATTCCCATGGGAGTTTTACAGAAAACAGGCAGGAAATACTCATCATCAAGTGGAAAAGKTATTGAAGAATTGAACTTCAAAATACACCGGGCTTTAAATACAAATCTCATTTGTAGGTCAAGAAATAACTTAGGTTCTAAAACYTTAATGTGAAAATTAAGTTGTTCCTGCTTGGAGAGCTGGGGGAGCATTTCCTGGTTCAGTACTTTATGTAGCCAAATACTACAGAAGCTGTTGAGGTTTAGATGTCTGTTTAGATTCTGTCTCTCTCTCTTCTAACTTAGAAACAAAAATTAAGAATTGAACTATCTTTTCACCATTGAGATCTGTCTTTCACTTCTTTATCTCCTAAAGCTGGGAGGTTTTGAATCCTCATTTTGTTCATATCAGTTCCACAACTTCTCCCTTCTACCCAYAGACTCTGTGTTGCTTTGTGTATTGCTAACATCCCGTGGGATGTTCCAGCAAATGTACAATACTATATGACTTACCATTATATTTCTATTGCTATTATAGGATCAAATATGAATATACTCACTCTGTGGTTTAAAGGGTTCCACTCTCCTCTGGCATATTCCTCTGAAAGGATGCACAAAACATTCATTTTAGCAAAACTTCCATGACAGTTTATAAAGCTTAATTCAACTACAGGGTCTTATATATTAATAACAAACGAATACAAAACAAAATCTGTAATAGAAACATTGGCACATACTCTAAAAATAAATGTAAAGACTAACTTGAAAATTAAATGCATTCACCTTCCATATAAGATATTCCTATGACAGATATTTTGCCTTCACTGCAACTGTATATAGGCATGTTCTTTCCACTACCTAGTCTGTGATTACAAACTGGAATATGATCTTGTGCACTTAAGGCACGAGGGAAATTCAAGAACTGTGTCACATAAAGGGGCAAGGTTGAAATATTGATAACCTTTTGACATCACTGAGCAATCAAGAAAGCAGGAAGAGAATCACATGGTGAAAATCATTCCCTAACCCATATTACTCCAAATTAATTAGGTGTATGTCACACAAATAAAACATGACATTAAAAAAACACAGACCACTAACTTGCTCATTACAAAAATACTTACAAAAATACAAGCTTGTATGACTGCCTTTCTCTTGTGAGGCCAGTTTCTTATTCACAGCTGTTACAGGTAAAGGCAGGGTTTTCCTTTAACATTTTTACTATGTTAATGTCATAGCAGYGGGTGACAAATGTCCAAGGGAAATGGCATTGCAAGTAGAGACAGTGCTGTAATTCAATCATATTTTTCTTGCATTAAATTTTCCAGATTTAAATAACTGTCAACAGAGAGTATGATTCATATAACCACCATTATCYCTTGTTCTGGTCTCTAACCAAAATGTATCTATTCATTAATAAAGAGCTACTGCTTGAATAAGGCACAGACACACTAATTTATGCTCAGTGGTCTGAACCTTGCATAGAGCATACCAGTGAACATTCTGGTTGTGCTCTTTCCTAACATTTTCAGAAAATCCTTCATATACAAATATTGAGGTAGCAGTTTACCACCGATCCGATATACCTAATCCCAGGATTAATTTTGTATRCCCATCAGTGGTGAAGCAAGATGGATTTAATAGCCCATTAGCCTTTCAGCATGATAATTTTCACGTCACTTATCCTGCTGGGTTAATTGCTTTAAAGTGGATATTATTGACCTCAATCCTAGTGACAAACAGAGAACGTCTTATTCATCTCCCAAATGTACATTCTTAGACTCTTGTTGCTTTTGTCCTGACAATAAATCCCCTAGATTACGTATTTGTATATTATAATTTATACTCTATTGGCCCATATTTAAGAGCTTACCGAAGCAACATCTTTCAAATATTATTACCCATGACTGGAATATTAAATTCTGTTTCTTATGTAAAGAAAAATGTTGCAAGCATAAAAAAAATTGTTTTACCTCTTGTTAAGAAATTAATTTTAATGCTAAAAGCTGTAGCAGGTGCATCAGGGATTAAGCATTTTTGGAATAAACAGCTGGCCAGTATATTTCCAACTGCAGAAGTCTGGTCATTAGAAGGGGAGAATGAAGAACAAATTTGGACAGAGAAGCTGCAGGAAAGGAAATTCGGGTTCTAGGAGAGAGAAACAGAAAAATACATAATGAAAAAGAAAATCAAGGAGTAAAGCTAAGAGTAGAGCTTTTATTCATGTCTATTATTTGTGGATTTTCTCCTGTAGTGATTTAGAGAAAACACAGGCCAGCTGCTTTGAGGGAATTAATGCTAGCTGTGAGCAGCAAAAAATAGAAAACGAGGGAGTGGAAGAGGAACATAAGTTATGTTATTGCTTGCGGGGAGGTGAAACAGGGCTGGAAGTTAACACAGCCAGTTTTTAGATCACTATGTGTCAACAGTGTTACACATACAGTTATACATAGGTCCTTGTATTGCAATGGGAAACAGGAGGGTAAGACTTAGATACTTGATTGTAAGAGCCCAAGGTTTGGAGCAGGTTTGCCCACCTAGAAGAACCCAGATCCCACAGATGTCATTTGTAACACATGTATCATTTGTATCCTCACATGTCCTGAAGTCTCATTCTGTAGCTTCCTAGAGCAAATTTGCTTTATAAGATGCAGAATGGAGAGGCTTGGTATTTACAAAAAGTGATTTCTAAACCACATAAATGTTAACATAGGTAATTAATCAAAGATGTAAGCCTACCTTGGTTCAATAGGCTTATCAAACACCAGAATAATGGCAGAACTGTTTCTTCATAAAACAAATTGGAGCCACAAGACTCCTACTGAGCTTTCTGATTGACTTAAACAGTGCAGGATTTTGCCTGGGAGCTCAGTTCCCCATTTTACTGACAATGACAATGTCAATGACAGTGATGTCGATTTTATTAGCAACTGTTCCTGTGTGACACTCACGTGAGTACAGTCGTGACACGAGCAGTTGAAGCTGCGTGTTCTCGCTTCAGTTACAAACCACCTTTGACTCTGGTTGAAACAAAACCTGACTGCATGCAGCAACTCTGCTGCAGCAGGTGTGTGGCCAATCACTGCTCTACAAAGGATTTTCCAGGAAAAAAAAAAAAACCAAACCACCCTTGTTTTTTAACCTTCATTTTTTTCCCCTCCTAAATTCAGGTCATCTACTTTAGGTCATTCAGGTCATTGGCAAAGGTACAATGTTAGCATGTTTCATAAAAGGCAAAATAAATGAAACCTTCTGAATAACAAGAATATCAGCATTTCATAGAGAAATGAAAAATTGGAGAAAACAGTGAGAATTTCAGTCTTGTAAGACTGAAAATATTTCCTGTTTATTTTTCAGAATGTTTTTTAASCATTGTCACTATGAACAGCTCCTGCCATCCATACTAGGAAAAAAAAAAGAGAGCATTTCCTTCTGTTTAAAACTTAAAACTGGTTGATCAGCTCATGTATATCAAAACATCCAGAGGAATCAGAAGAGGAATGATAGATTACTGATGCTGAACACCTAGTCCTAGATTTTTAAGTTAAAACTATGAGGAAAATACAGTGGATCAGATCTTGCTCCTGTGTGTACTGACGTCAGGGGCACAAAATTTGACCCTAAATACATTGCGTTGGGAATCATTAAACTTTAAAAGATTTTAATCATGCAYAGTTGATGGGGTATTTTGTAAATGTAAATGAAATCACTGATGAAGTGCATTGACTTTTTTTTTAAATATTGATTTTGCACACTGTTGGAAAGTATTCCTTTAGGCACCTTTGTGAGGAACAAACAGGTATTTTGTGGATCAGGGGCTGACTGGCGTTCCAGCCAGAGTCAAGGGCTCCTCTGAGTACCAGMTGGACGTGACTGCTGCCTCTGCTCTCTCCCCTGGTGGGGGACCGGCCAGCCGGGCACCAAATTTCCAAAGGGAACCTGTGCACCTCTCCCCTCCGTCCCAAGAAAGCCAGAGCRCCGTGCGGGTGCTCTCCTCACAAATCCCGCTGCCTGCTGCACTGACGAGCCTCAGGGAACCCGGGCCACCCGCTGCCACCAGCCCGTCCCCTGGGTCACCCCCGCCGCCACGACCCCGGCACCGTCTCTGGGAGCGGCAGCACAGCCCCCGACGGGACCGGGACCCCGACGCTCCGTGACTGAATTTGCAGACTTTTGGGAMACGGAGGGACACCCGGGAGCCGTGGGGCGGGGGCGAAGTGGGTGGTCGCTGTTTCACGGAGCACSTCCCGCTCTCCCCAGCCGGCCTGAGCCCACTGCCCGCGTGGGGCTGAGGRACAGCAGGGACCGCCTGGCGCTCACCTCGCTGAATGAGAACAGCCCGCCCCGAGCACCCTGCTGAGCGGGGGGGCGATCTCCTCCTCCCGAGAAAAGGCTAACTGTACTTTTTATTGGTATTTTTCCATCGGGGTTCTCCACAGGACAGACCTCTCCCCTCGCCCCGCCGGGTCACGCCGGGTAACTCTGTCCCGCCGGAGGCACCGCCCCGGGCCGGGGTCGCGGCGTGAGGGGATGTAGCGCGTCCTCCCACTCGGCAGGGGGCGCTGCAGCCGGAGGGCGCGCAGGGCTCCGCCGTCGCCGCCATCTCCTCGCTGAGCTCATAAAGGTGTCGCGCAGGTTCCGCCCGGGCTCGTCATTCCGCCGCCCCGGGCCCGGTGCCGCCGCCGTCGCCGCCTCCCCCGCACCGC